CTACGACGAGGACGCACAGCTCACGGTGTCGTTCCTCTTGGGGCTGAAGACGTGCAATGGCAGAATCGGAGCCACGGGAATGTGTCTCGGAGGTCATCTTACTTACCGCTGTGCACTGGATCCCCGAGTGACTGCGGCGCTGTGTTTCTTCGCCACGGACATCCACAGTTCCACGTTGGGTGAAGGAAAGAAGGATGACAGCTTGAAGAGAGCGGGTGATATCAAAGGAGAACTGGTCATGGTCTTTGGCAAGAGTGACCCTCACGTTCCGGCGGAGGGTCGAGACCTGATCCGCAAGACTCTTCACGAGGCGGGTGTCGAGTTTTCCTTCTACGAAGTCTTCGCCGCTCAACATGCCTTTGTCCGTGATGAGTTGAGCAAAGGACGTTACGATCCCGCCGTCACCAAGGTCTGTTTCGAGATGCTCATGGAGCTCTTCAACAGGAGACTAAAAACCGACCTCGGCGCACCAAGCGGAGAAAAGCTGGTGGTGGAAGACGTGTGCTAAGCCTTGGATGGTCCTGTCTTGGTAACTCCGGAGCACATAGTCATACATTGGAAGCTCAATAACAAGAACTCCATAGAAAAGCACAATCACAACTTTGCCTCTCCTTTGTTCAATTCCTGTGCTTTCTTTTGGTCCCCCGACTCCCCTGTCGTCTTGTATCCAAACAGATATGCAGCCACCTTCCTGATTTGCACCTCTTCACTTCCCTCTGTAATCCTATACCTCCTGAAGTGTCTCCAAATATGTTCAAAGGGATAGTGTCTCGAATACCCCACTCCACCGTGAACCTGGATTGCTCGATCGGCAGCCTCTGTCGCTAATCGATTGGCATAGTAATTGCACATCCCGATTTTATGACCCAGTTGTTTCTCGATCGCGACCCAAGGGGCCTTCCCACTAGCCTTACATGCTGCCGTCACTTGGTCCATTTCCACGGCGGTTCGGAGGATCAGCAGCCGCAACATCTCAGCCTGAGTAGACAATTCCACCAGTGGCCATTGAATAGCTTGATGCGACGATAATGGTTTTCCAAACACTTTGCGTTCATTGGCATACTCAACACTCCTGTCGATGCAATATCTTGCTGCGCCACAACTTGAGCTTGCCTGACGTATCCGATTCTCATGCGTAAAGGTCTGTGCAATGGCCAAGCCATTATCAACGGGGCCCAAGATGGCAGAGGCTGGAACTTTGACATCCTCCAGCAAAACTGTCGCGTGGTCTGTCGGCATATTGAGCGTCCATTCATACGAAGCCACTGTCACACCAGGCGTGTCTCTGGGCACTATGAAAGCAGTGATTCCTTTTGGCGACCCAGCTTTGCCCGATGTTCTCGCAAAAATAAGGCAGTGTGTGGCATTGTGCATGCCCGTTTGCCACTTCTTGTTGCCATTAATTGTGTACCCAGCTTCGCCCGACGGTAATGTAATCGGTGTGGCCGTGGTGTCCATGTGCGTCGCGTCGGAACCATGATGGATTTCGGTGAGTCCAAAAGTCGCTCTAAACTCGCCGCGGACGCTCGCTGGTATGAACTTCTGCTGTTGCTCCGGCGTGCCGTAATGATGGAGCATAATGACGATCGGGTTGTTTCCTACGACGCTGTGCTCATTCTGCAGGTCGTTGGCCAGACTGACCCCTCCACCATATACAGGATGGGATGCCAGATGGTACCTGATGGCACTCATGTACAGGTTTTGGGAAGTACTTCCAGCTCCACCATATTCCTTCGGGAAGGCAAAGCGGTAGAACCCTGCGTCGTCTGACAACTTGCGGGCCTCGTGGAGAAGATGCTCCCAGTCATCAGTAGGGAGTCCTCCATTGTCCCATTGTGTACGTGAAGCTTCACGCCGATGATCGAAGAAACGGTTGTTGTTTCCGGCATGCTGTAAGGGCAGGATTTTGCTGTTTATGAACTCGTCCAGGCGGGAGAGATAGGACTGGACATCAGGTGGGAGTTCGAAATTCATGATTGCTCACTTCACGATCCACGGGGCATTGAGAAGGGAATGGCCATACTAGGAGCTTGGACTCAACATATACCATTGTTCTAACCTCGGAACGTCGCCTTGACGAGCGCTCGTCAGAGTCAGAGAGAGTGAAAAGTGCGGAGAAGATTCAGATTGAAATCCCTCGGCTCAATTCAACGCAGCTTCAGTTGGGGTACTTCACCGTATAGTTAGTTCTCGGGTGGATCAAATTAACCGGATAGGCCGCTCACTTGTCAGCAGCAGTAACTCATCAGTCTTACTCCTTTTTAATATTCATCACTACAGGGACTTCTTTACTTTTCTCAGTCCATTCACCTACATCATTCCATACCTTGGCACTCAGAAGAAAGCTATCGGATTGCATCGCATACGTAGCCAATCTACATGGCTCACCAACGCACTTGTTGGTTCAGCTGACTCCTTAAAATTGCATGGGGGCAAAAAATCCAGAAGAGAGCGCAGAATGGATTGGAGAAGAGCGAGAGGCCAAGACAACCCAAGTACTCCGTACTTGGGCCCTGTATAGGAATTGTGGTCTCGTGTTTGTCTGTATACGAGTTTTAGCCAGGTAGGACAAAGTCTCGGCGTATTCAACATGGGTCAGACACTCTTCAGGTAGGCACCTGTGGTACCCCTCCCTCAGCTGGTGGTTTTATCAGCAAGAGCTGCGTAATAGATGAGGCTTTGAGCCACGACGAACGACATACCTTGGAGCTTGGAAGGCTTCTTCCATTCAAAGGTAAGGACGAATCATGCATGATCTAGTCACCGCAGTGACCATCCGACTCTGCCAAAACAATTCTCTCAATTCGACAGGGGTTTCTTTTCATTCCCATTTCCGATCAGCCGTGGGTCTCATTGGCGATTGCCTTGTCAAACATACCCTGGAACATTGGATGGCCTTCTCGTATCCTTCGCTGAGTGTGCTCTTGGCTGGGGGCGAGTATTCCTTGTCCACTACAGCTATATGGACAAGCCAAGCGTCCATCTCCTCCGAAGGAGACTGCCATGTGTCTATGCTCAGCCGCGATGCCATGGGTCGAGAACGCCTCCCTCACCTCTCTATCTGTCTGTGTGTGCGTCCAAAGAAGAACCTGGTCCCTCAGCCATGGACTGTTCGTCTGTAGATTAAGGCTGCGGCTGGCACCTCTCACATCCCCGAGGCTTTTCCACTTCGCCCGCTCTCATCAAGGCAGGAAGAATGCTTCGTCCCCAGTATTATCCAGGTTGGTTTTCTTTGGTGTTTTTCATTCTGACTTCTCCCTTCTCTTCCGAAGCGTATACATAAATTCTGCTACAAGATGACATCTATAACCTGCCAGAACGATGCTGATCCTTTATTCCTGCCCATAACATACAATAATCTCAGCTCGGACGGGTTGGGCGCATCTGCATGGGGGATCGCACTGGACGTCGGCACACCGAACCAGACATTTTCGTTGTATCCTTCTATCCTGGAAATCACCGTGCTCGCAAACACCCGCCACTGCACCTCAAAGGATGACCTTGCCTGTGTCGCCACTAATGGTAGACTGTATGACCCCAGGTTGTCAAGCACCTCGGTCAATCAAGACTTGACCACATGGAACGGCACGAGCGCTGGCATGGATTCCTCCATCTTTATTTTCTATGACGATGTTGTCGACGTTCCACAACTCAACGACACTACGATCTGGGGATATCCATTTGTGACCGATGATGGAAGTCTATGGGGTTCGTACGCGGCCTTTCCGTTTTGATCCACGTGGTTGATGCTTAACTGTTGTATATTTTATAGGTGTAAGCAGCCTTGGAATAGGGCCCAACTCGAGCTTCCTGCAAGCTGCGGTCGACGTCGGTGCGGCACCATCGATGTCCTGGGGCTTGTGCGTCGGAAGTCGTTCCATCGACGAACCTCAGGACGGGCTCCTCATGGTCGGAGCGTACGACGATGCCCGCGTGGCCGGCGACTTCTTCACCGACACAAGCACTCCCGACTGCCCCGTGTGCCTACAAATCCAGGACCTGTCGTGGGTCACCGACGCCGGCACCGTTCCTCTGACCAACGCATCGACCAGCAATTTCCAAGTGTCGCCGAACCCGATAAGCAGCTCGATCGAAATCCCACAGGAGTCGTTTGCAGCGTTCGGCGCCGCGACGAACGGCACGTACGACCCTACCCTGGAGACGTACACTTACCCTCCGTCGAACCCGCCCGCGGGGAACCTGAGCTTCACGATCAAAGGCGGCTACAAGACCTCCATCCCGGCGGACGAGCTCTTTCGGTTCCCCCGCCAGTACGACGGCGACGGAGAGCTGGTCATCGCCAACGACACCTACCAGCGGGCATTCGTCTACTCGTACACGAACCAGGACACGAGTGCCGCGCACTATGCCTACACCTGGGGTCTTCCGTTCCTGACGATGAATTCCCTCGTCCTCGACGTCGAGCGGCAGCAGTTCCGCCTGTCCGAGGCCATCCGTCAAAACTTTGGCAGCGAAGGGGGCGTCTTCCCTCGCAAACTGTACTCTGGTTCGTCGGCCGTCGGCACCGACGAGGACAAGAGTGGACGAGGAAATGGTGCACCCGTCGGCGCGATCGTGGGAGGTGTCGTCGGAGGCGTCGCCGGTCTCACCGCCATCGTCGTGCTGGTGTTTTATCTGTGGCGTCGTCTTCGTCGTCGCAGTCTCAAAAATGTCACCCGACAGGTCCAGACGACGACCGGTGGTGCAGCTCCAGCAGCAGGCTACCACGATCCTCATCTGTCCATGTGTCCTTCTCACCCGTCCCAAGGCTCCGCGGCAGCATCCTATCCCCCTGTTTCCGGGTACCATTTGCCAGCAGGCGGCCACACTCCTTCTTCGTTCGGACATGGTCAACAACAACAACAACCTACCTACCACTATACAGAAACCGCGAGGACGGCGGCCATCATCCAGGAATTACCTTCTTCCTCCGAGAAACCCAACGGCTCCTCCGGACGAAAAGTTGGTGGTTTTCGTTCACAACGTGCCCGGAGTAGTAGTGATATCGGAGGATCTGTGAGTACTTTTTGAGAATCTCTCTTTGTCTTCCTCCCACTTCTTCTTTTCGCCAGTTGCTAATTAACAAATTTTGGTTAGAAAATGTCAACATCTACAGCTGTGGCGTCCCCTGTCGACGTAGCAAACAATTGTCCATGAAGAGAGTAAGAAGACGAAGAGGAAGAGAAGTCGTGAGAAAGCCGAACAAGTAAAGTACAGCACCTAAATGTTTTTTGGGATGGCTTTTGGTTGTGGCTGTGGTTGTGGTGCGAACTTGTCATGTCCCGCGGGCATAGATGTGGATGACTGTGGAATGAGGTTGACTTGATTCTTCACGTGTCAGGCGGCTACTTTATAATCCATCATGATGTTCTCTTTTTTTTTGGATTGTAATGTCCTCGCTGTATCTGATGGTGGCTTGGGTTAATGTCTAGAATACTTTACTTTAAAATGTTTCCCTCCCTAGAAGTATCATCAAGTCGTCGTGCTCTCCAATATGGTTAATCTGTACCCAAGTATCTTCAATCCATGTTTTCTTCCACATACATAGTATACTAACTATTATGCAAGACTTTTACTGTTGTATATACCTGTGTTATATGTGTTGTGTGTATTTTGTGTATTTTATATATATCATGTATATTATGGAGCAGGTATTATACTCCGAAGTATGTGGGAAAAAGAAAATCAACAATCCTTTGACCAAAATTGCTGCGCCATTCTAGGCAACGTGTCGAAACTACTAAAGTTTCCATCCGCACTCACCCAGTCACTCGTGTTGCCGGTGAGGTACTTGCCGGCCGCGGGGGTGAAGAAACTCGTCCCGTACACGTCGACCAGCGTGTCGTCGCCGATGCCATCGACCGAGACGTTGGCCTGGACATAGTGAGGCGTCTCTGCCGAGCCCTGGTCGATGTGGACGACGTTGTCGCCGTCGGACCCAAAGTCGTCGTGGGTGACGTACCCTTCGGTCTTGACGATCGTGGTTCCGTTGGCGGTCGCAGGCTCACCCCGCTTCTTGTAGACCTTGTCGGTCTGCATGTTCGCCAACAAGTTCTTGGCCACGGACCACGGGGCCGTCATTCGCAACCAATAATTCTGGTAAGGGTTCGTCTGGTAGGCGTTGTCGATCGTAAAAGGTCCCTTGAGGAGGTCGTAGCGGAACCCTCCGGTGTTGGTGAGGACGATGCGGCTCATGTTGGTGCGCTTCGGGTCCACGACCACCTTGGGGAACACGACCGTGGTCAGGTAGTTGAACAGCGACTGGTTGGACGTGATCGGGTAGCGGGACAGGTAGTAACTGTCCGGGACGCAGCCGAGTTTGGTGGTCAGGCTGGGTAGACTGTCGATGTCGCTGGTGATCTTTTCGGTGATGTTGGTTCCGAGGCTGGTATTGAACGTCGCCTCGGTCGTGCCGGTGTGGTGTTCGAACGAGAAGCGGTTAAAGTCGAGGTACTGGCGAGTGTAGGACAAGTCGGATTGATTGTTCGGTGTGACGCCGGGGATCGCGCTGGGTTTGGCTGTGATCTTGGTGGCGTTGTTGCCCTGAGGTGACTTCGCCCTCGTGACAGATGACGGTAGGCCGTCGATGCTAAGCCAACCGACCGTCTCACAGTAGCGGCCTGAGGCTATTCCCACGGCATTGGCGTCGAAGATGACCGAGTCACGGACATGGCGGTGGCCCCCGAAGATGGAGATGGGGATCGTGGGATGATGTTCGCGGATTGCCGAGTAAATCAAGTTCCATTCGGTTGAGCCGCGGAGAGTTATATGTCCTGCCACGAGAAACATGTCAATGTCGGTGCGCTTGACTTGCTCTTGGAACCAGGACTGTTTGACTGCGGTGCCGACAGGCGTCACGACGGTGGCGTTGCTGTTTCCAGTGAAGTTGAAAATGAAGGCGAAAGACATGATGCGGATTCCCTGTTTGGTTTCCCAGTACGCGTAACGCTGTGAGAAGGGCTTGAGCACACCCGTATCGTTGAATTCGACATTCGAAGTAAGATAACGTCCACCCCAGTGCGGCGCGAAATTGTGGTACGTGTCATTTGCGATGGGAGTGGTGTAGAGTTCGTGATTGCCAATTGACAAAAGGTCGTACGGCAACCTTTGGAAGATGGGAACAGTCAGTTTCCCGTTCGGCTTCGTGATATCTCCAAACCCGGTCCCGTCGTGCAAGTCGCCGGAATCGATGAGAAGCAGGTCAACTCCAAGGCGGTCAGCTTTGGCCTTCATCTTCTGAACAAAGTCGGCAAAGTCCCCATAGTCGGCACTGTAGTTCTCATCCAGCAAATGACCCGCCAGCCAGCCGTGAGTATCGGTGGTATGGAGAAAGTTGATCTGACCCCAGTGCAAGTCTTTGATCTGCTGCGCGGGCGTCTTCAGTGCCGTTGGTTGGATTCGTTTTGACAGGTCATGTCTTCTCATCATACTATGATCGACATAGCCTCCAAGCACAGGGGACGTCCAGTCATGGTCTTCACAGCCTGCAATCGGGCGTAACAACGAGGTGAGCAGTAACAACGAGTTAAGCAACATCATGGCAGAGGAAGGCTGTCAAATAACTCCCGTCACCCAACTGAAGGTCAGTCAAAATCGTCCAATTCAATGACTGAGACGTCTTTTGTTCCTTTACCTGGACTCGAACAAGTGACGAGGTGCTAAGAGCAGGGGAAGCTTCTTCATAAGCTGACCATCTTGGGATGGATGGCAAATATGACGGCGGAGTTGAACGACGTTGGATCGGTATTGCAACCATGTGCTAGAGGGAGAGTAGCTTCGAATGAGGTTGCAGATAAGCGGCAGAGCGGCCCAGTGAGAGCAAGGCATCTTCCAACTCCTCGGTCAGTCAACCTACCGTTGGATATTGAATCGATGAATGAAGATCACAATGCTACCGAAAGATTGAATCAAGTGGGATACGACTAGTGAACCTTTTGCATATGGCGCCTGGGCGTAGGAAGGTCCGGGCGTATTAGGCGCATCGATGACGCTGTGAGAAGCCCACCAAGTGCCTACAATGGGCAGCTTCACAGGCACGAGGCATGATCAATTGGAGGTCGAGGTATAACGAGGCTGCCCTTAACCTCCCAAGAGGCGCCCGTTAACCCCATGGCCAAGATCAGTCTGGAGTAACCTATTTATACTGTATTTAGGTATGTTTACCTAGGGTGACATCAACACGCTACTCCGAAGGTAGAGGCGGGACACTTCTACCCAGACCAAAGAATGCCATAAACAAAATCATTCCTACCCAAGTTCCTATGTATGTTTCATTTACCATTTCTATCATAGCATATTCATCATAGATCCTGCCCGTCCAATCGCAACAGATCCTGTACTAACACATGACTGGATTAATGGCGTATAATCCCTGGACAGTCAAGTCAGTTTCATTTGCTTCTGCCATCATACAATGACTCACCTGATTGTATGTTGTAAGCTGGGCAATTCTAGCTTGAATCGCCTCATCGTCCTCCAGCAACTTGTCAATCGCCTTGACGTCGTCGATGGCCCAGAAGTCAGTGAACGCGTCCACGACGGCCTTGGTCTTTTTCTTCAGAATGTCGTCGTCGATTGCTGCAAAGCAAAGTCGGAAATACTGCCAGCCTTTCTTTTCAGCAATTTCTTCCGTGGGGCAGAAGAGTGACCCAGGGCTGAGTAAGACCAGATAGTCGTCCGTCGTCATGAAAACCCACAAAGCTTGCGCGAGTCGCTGGCTTTCGACTTTACTGTACAGTGGGTGTGTCTCATAATGTGCCCGCATCCAGAGAAACATCCCAGCCATGGGATAGGAAAAGTCATACATCTGGGTTTTGTGCAACACCTGGTACTCGAAATCATCTTCCGACGCAGTGGAGGGTCGTCTGGAGTCATGAATAACATATTTTCCCTCTTCGAGAAGGTTACTCATGACCTGCATTCGACGTTCGTAGTTGCCTCGAAGACCTTCCAGCCATCGTACCCAGCCATCGGCCCCCCAACCACTGCCATCTCCCCTGCCACCCTTTCCAGGGTCGCCCTTGGAAGAAGGACCCATGATCAGTTCGGCAATCAGGCTTTGAACAAATCCAGAAGGCTGCTGGGTGCTCGTCTCAGTGATGCGTTGCAACCGCTCACACACGGCAGGCTGAGCAGTAATCCAGCCCAGGCGACAACCGGGTGCTACGGTCTTGCTGAAAGTATCCAGTCTTACGACTCTGCCGTCCACGTCAATTGACAAGTACGAAGGCACGAGACTGTCCAGGAATGGAAAGCCGCTCGATTTGCCACCCGATGAGGTATTGTAGTTGTGTGCTGACGTTGCAGGATAGTTCTCCGAGACAGCCTGGCCGCGAGCTTTGATCGAGAGTTCGTTGGCAGAGGGGTACTGTAGGTACCAGTATGGGTCATCTTCAACAATGATAATGTCATATTTCTGACATAACCCGTAAATCTCCTTCCGTCTCTTGACAGAAAGAAGACCTGAAGTTGGATTTTGGCCCATAGTGACGGTGTACATCAAATGAGGTCGCTTTCCCTTGTTCTTGTCCCAATGTTCCATGACTTCTTCTAGTCCACCTTTGCCATACGCTAGCATGCCCTCGTCATCAATGGCCACGGGGACGACATTGAGACCACGAGGTTTAGCAGTCTGAATGGCATTCATATAAGCGAATTCCTCGCACAAAACACCTTCTCTTTCTCGAATCCAATCTCTTTCCTCGTCCCAAATGTTACTAAAGCACTCAATGGTTTTGGCGAAACCATCTGTCGATCCGCAGGTCAATATCACCTCGACTCCTCCTTTATAAGGCACGTTGGGGTGTAAGTTGTTCTGTGCAAAAGACCTGATGAAGGCATACAACGGAGGGTAACCTTGCGCAGTGCCATATTGTAAAGCGGTGGTGAGATCAATTTTCCGTAGAACGTTGGGCTCAGCGGAATCGTGTGGAACAAGGACCCGAGAGGCGGTCGGAGTGTCTGAGAGACTTGTCTTTGCCAAATCGGCTGTGGGAGGATCAACGGGCTTATTGGGAGTTGGCTTGAACCGATCTGGTGTCGCTGTGGCGGCCTCCAAAGTGTCGTAGGGGAAATACCCAGGATTGGGCAGGCCTAAAGAGATATCAGCTGGCTATATCAACAAGTATCGAAGTCAAACTACCTCCAGCGAGGTTGCCCATCCCAGGTATGAACATGTATTGGTAAAACTTCTTGACGAGACTGGCATTACGATTCTTTGTCACCCTGGAGTAGTGATACGACAGGTCTTTTGGCGCTGGTTTCTCCATAGCGACGGGCATGGCTGCGGCAGTAAGTCGACTGATAGGATATCAACGACCTTGGGTGTTTGATGGCAGAACAACAGAGGTGAAGTAAAGACTGAAGACGAAGGGCGCATGATGACTATTGCATAAATCCATTGCCGGCGATAAGAGATGCGATAACGGCACCGACAGCTTGTAGCCCTTGACCAACCATACGGTGACGGTGGATGACGGTACTCTATGATCCCCGCGCTTTCAATAGTCGCTGATTAATTAATTGTGTTGTTGATTTCTCTCCTTCTGTACTCAGTACTGGGAGAGCCTTCTTCGTCTTACCTCGTTTATATCCAAAGGCCATACGGCGTACTTGCTGACGGCAAAGCTTGTGGCAAGGCGGTGTTGGCCCTTTGGATCTGACTTCAGGATTGACATTTGATGGCTTCGGACAATGCTCTTTTTTATTCGACACTACGGACAACCAAGTGTAAGTCCGAATGGTATGAGGCTGTTGACCTCGTTAGAAAAACCACCGTGCTGCAGCCTCTGCTTTTGCATGATTGGTGAACCGCAGGTTTCTACCGAAGACAAGGCTCAGCAAGGCTTGTGTGGTATCATTGATCTACTTACCCTGGTCAACCCTGGATCCGCCTCACCGTTTGGGGAGAGCGCAAGATTTTCCCGTGGACTATCAGCCATTCACGCTCACCGCGCTGGCATGGTCTGCTGCAAAAGACAGCTCAGGGAAATGCAGGGTGTGCCGCACGCACGTTGAGGCCTCCCTTGCATCGTGGCAACCCGAGTCATGAAATCATGGAATTCGAGACCGTCATTTCGACTGGACACTGACTTTCGGGCGTTTACGATACGACGAGTTTACTTTGGGTCAGTCATGCTTCTGGCAAGATCTCCGCTCACCTTTAAGTGCCCTTAGAGATTGTCCACGGGTTGGGGCTAGAGCATCTCCAGGATCCGACGCGACGCGGAAGACGCATACTGAGGCGAAACCATAAACAAAAGCATTCAATGGTGGAGCTGGTATTGGCACAGACGTACTCTGCTTCCACCACCCATGCTAGGTGTCTGACTGGAGCCTGGATTTTCTTAGCCAGTTATGCGGCCAAGTTGCGAGGGAACCACTAGACGCAGCCCGACAAGCTTCCCACGACATCAGTGATACATCACGAGCATGCCGCAAAGCATAAGTCTCTGGATACGAATTGTGGGAACTCATTGACTTAGCGGATCCGCCATAAGAGGACATTAGAAGAATATTGGTGACGACTAGACAGAAACTAAAGGTAGGTCAATCAATCGTGTCCCTTCAGAGGCCAGCGGTACCCTTCGTTTGCAAGTCGACATGTGATGAACGCTCCAGAGCTTACATCTTGTAGAAAGTGATAAAGAGAACATAGTGGCTCTGTAAAATACTTTCACTCTCCAGTTACACCCAACCAGTGGCCGATATGTCTTCTCCTCAGGACCGAGATGTGCCGATGGAAGACCAAGGTCAAGGTCAAGGTCAAGGTCAAGGTCAAGATCCACATCAACTATTTCTCGATGCTGACCATGACTCTGCTATTGGAGAGGTAATCGACCCGATTTGTGACATATGATGGAAGCTCAAACATCCCGCTTAGGAAGAACGTGACATACTGTCCACATCGTCGTTGAGGTCGAGTGTATACCAGTTTCGACGAGAGAATGGTCGGACCTACAACCGTTACGGCGACAGAGGTAAGAGTCCCTGGGATCTGGACCACGCGGGCGCTGACCATGCCGCCGACTATGTGCTCCCAAATGACGCGGTAAGACCTGCCCCCATGGCCTGATACGACCTGGGGCTGTCACTCATCTAGTCACGATAGCAAGAACTAGATCGTCTTAGTGAGTTACAACTGATTGGTTCTGCCGGGTGGTCGACTGATCCCACTCAGAGCATCAGCACTGCTTGCTGATGGAGACATTTGGACCCGGACTGACGGCCTGTGGGGTTGAAAACAACCGCGACGTGCAACGAGTACTGGACGTCGGCACAGGGACAGGATGCTGGGCACTCGAGTTCGGTAAGCTCCCTTCTCTCGACTAGAGCGGGTTGATAAGACAACTTCACTAATGTTGCCGCCCCCAGCGGACAATCACCCGGAGGCCACGGTGAGTTCCTTCTTGACTGACGATCTCGGAGAGAGCTTCATGGTGGCAGGTGACGGGCGTCGACATAAGTCTTGTGCAGCCGACATCGAACCCGCCTAATTTGTCGTTCGAATTATGGGATGTCGAGAAACAATGGGAGTACGATTACAAATTCGACCTTATCTTCAGCCGCATGATGACTGGAGCCATATCTCAATGGCGGAAGTTTGTGCGGCAAAGTTTTGAGTCTGACTCCTCCCCGTCCTTCCTTCTGACTTTTTAGAATCCCTGGCTTACATCTGGCACCAGCAACCTGAACCCGGGCGGGTATGATGCATCACGCCCACCTTCGTTCAAATTTGCTCAACTGAAGCATGTGCAGATACCTCGAAGTCCAAGACATCTCGTTCCATCTTCGCTCATTAGGTGGAAACCTTCCCGAAGACTCCGCACTTGCTCAATGGACACGCTATATGCTAGAGGCTAGCATCAGGCTGGGAGCGCCTCTGGACAGCATCGATTGTGTTCGAGACATCATGATCGATACAGGTTTTGAGGACGTCCAGCAGAAATCATATGTCTGGCCGATGAACCCCTGGTCCAGAATCCCGCACTACGAAAGACTTGGTAAGAGCTTCATGAGTTAGTACTCGTTAGAAACTGTCTTCTCAATCTCCGGACAGGATCATGGATAGTTCAAGACTTCACCACCTCGTTGACCGGGATCAGCGTGGCGCTGTTCACCCGGGGTCTCGGCTGGACTCCCACCGAGTTGGAAGTCTTTCTTGTGGGTGTCAGGGAAGATATGCACGACGAGTCGACCCGCGCCTGGTGGCCCCTGTACGTGCCCTGCATATCATTTGACTATTGAGTATTTCATCGATGGAGGAGTAACGGTAGTACAGGTATGCAATTCATGGCAGGAAGCCAGCACAGATTTCGTGATTGACTTGAGGCGGGGGCAAGCCAGGGGGAGGAGGAATCAGTTCCAAGGGTGTCTCGTCCTCGATGATGAGTGGATCTTCAGACCCCGGATGAAATGAATCTTTCTCAGACTGGGACTACGGGCAACAAGAAGTCCCTTCCATCGGCTGGTAGTAAGGCTGTTTCGAGCTTTAAGGCGAGTCTTGAGAAGGCCACGAGCAAGGTGGCTGCAGTAGTGAATAAAATGATGCCAGCTACAATGAGCACAGCTTCACTTGAAGGCGGGGCCCCACGCTGCCGTTGAACGAGTCAATGTAGCCACCGCGGATCGGATGATCCTTTCAACGGAGTAGCATTGCCCATTGCGCTTCAACAAATTGTGATAGGATTCTCCTCTTGTCGACCTCCCCTGCTTTGTCTCGTTTCTCATCTGCAGGTGACATTGCTGGTCACTTCGCCTATCTAGATTCAGGGTCTACGGGACTTGTCGGTGAAAAGATGTGCATGCAACCCTTGCTCATGGGCAAATCGCCCCCAGATTTCTACAGCTCTCCCATCAACAAGTCACCCACTTTTACTGACCATCGTCTGGACCAACTAAAGAAATGATTCGGTCAGCAACATATGGTTGTTGCTATTGGTCTACACCCTGACCCGGTACTTCTTTGGTTGGTATCGCTTGAGACACATCCCGGGTCCTTTCTGGGCCGGTGTGACCAAGTTCTGGCAGCTGAAGCACAACTGGAACGGCACGCCTGTACCTCGAATCCGCCGAGGCGTGCTTCAAATATGGCACGTTATCTTTGACACGTTGTTACCCGCTGCAGGTACTGATCTAGAACTTAACAGGGCCACTAATCCGGGTCGGCCCTGACGATGGATGTCGTCGGTGAGATTGCCTTTGGTAAGGCATTTGGCTTTCTTGAGGACGATGAGGACAAGTTCTCCTACATAAGTACGACGGAGAGCACCATTCCACTGATCATCCTCACGGGCGCATTCCCTTGGCTGGCCAAGATTGCTCAGTCACCACTGATGACAGCCTTTATGCCGAAAGACACGGATACTTATGGTTTGGGCAAGATCATGGGGCAAGTCCAACAATACACAGATTCACATCCAGAGGATATCATCCGCAGCTAATCCTGTTTGTTGCGTAGGGTGGCCAAGCAAGTTGTCCGGAAGAGATCCAAGCCCGATGCGGCAGACCACATGGATATGTTGGGATCTTTCATCAGGCATGGGCTGTCACAAAAAGATGCAGAGTCAGAAACGATGATTTAGATGTAAGGTGGAGCTGCTGCCAATTCTTTTTCTTATGCCGCAACTAATGCTCACGGTTGAGCTTAACAAGGCATTTGTGCAGGTGAGTACACAGTAAAGTCCCAAGCGGTGGTGGTGTGGTGTCGGTGATGGTATGTTTGAGAAGTCTGTAAACTAAATGATTCTTTGTTGTAGCTCCTTCGGAACTTCGAGGTGAGCATCGTGGGTCTAGAGAGACCATGGAGTTCTTTCAAGGCTGGGGTCTTTATGTTCATGATATGTGGATAAGGGTTACGAAGAGGGAACCCAAGCTGTGAGATTTCCGTACGAGTGAAGTTGAGCCTTTGGAGATGGAATGGGTCAAAAGGATCTTCCGCCTCCTACGCAATCACAGCATGTTGCTCCATATAATGGATACAATATTACAATATTCTCGGTAACTATCGATAAGAAGAAGCAAGCGTCGTCGTCGTCGTCTCTCGTTGATGCTAGAGAACGAGGGAAATCAGCGTCCGCTCTCTCAACTTCATGTGATATATGGCGAATAGAATCATCAATCTGCAATTTGACAAGTCCGAATATTATGAATTAATATCGATAACGTCTATACAATCCATCGGCTCGTCACACCATCTGTTGGTCGGCGGCTTTTTACCCATGTTGAGGGGCCAAGCGATTCCGACGAGGCCGAAACGCCAGTCAAAGTACCGAAGTATGAGACACAAGGCACGTAAGCCTGCGCATCGAAAGCATTCAATCTTCTTCTTCATCTTCTTCTTCTCACATACAACTTTCCATTCATTATTTTGAATCATCGTTAGAGAGCGTTTCATTCATCTCCTCGTATCCATCCATCCATCCACTCATTTCGCCTCCTCCCCCTCCGCGGCTATGTCTTAGTTTGCGCATATCTACTACCTTTTTCACATCAGAACTATCAATACACGTCTCAGAAACCTCGCACAATGGTGGCCGCCGAGTACCGCGACGACGATGAAGAGAATCGAGCTGCAGATATACCTGTCTTGACCGACGACGACGACGACGACGGGTTAAATGATGACGCTGTAAGCGGTCGAGATCTTCACATCCGGACAGCCTCGGAATCCTCCACGACTGCGACTGCGCAGCTACCGCTACCCATATGGCTAAGAGAGTCGGCCGCAAGCTTCAGATATAAATGGGTACCCTTGCCGATCCGGAAAGCCTCGAGGGCGGTGGTGACTTGGGTAAAAGGTCCCGTACCCCCGAGGGTGTTGGAAATCAACCCGATATTTCCCAAGGTACAAGAAGCGCCTTTGAGGTTGTTGGATAGATATGCCCCCAAGAGAAAACAACGTCTCATCCTGCTGGTCGGGTTGTACGCCTGTTGGTTTTTGACTTGGTCATTGATGCTCAAACATCATTCGACTTCGGGTTTCATCAAGGGTTACGGACGGCCTCGCAATCTATGGTGCGGTGCCAGCTTCTGGAACGAAGGCAACGGATGCGGCCTCAACGGAAATCAATGTCGACCCTTTTCGTCGGCGCACATGACCTTTCGGTGTCCAGCCAACTGCAAAGGTACTCACATGCTGGAGGAACACATGGTCGGAAATCAGTCTCTCAGGTATCAAACGCTCGTGGTGGGAGGGCCCGACCCTTTCCGGCCAGACTCGAACTCGGTATATCGAGGAGACAGTTTCATCTGTCAGGCAGCCATCCACGCGGGCATCACCACCGACGCCAACGGAGGTTGTGGTGTGGCCACGCTGGTCGGGTCACACACGAATTTCCACTCGACAAAATCCAACGGGATCGAAAGTGTGTCTTTCCCGGGGACGTTTCCACGAGCGTTCACTTTCCAACGATTGTCGCCCGAGCAGGCCAAATGTCCCACGGACTCAAGGTGGCCACTGTTCGCCGTCACGGCCGTCGCTCTGGTCTTCTTGTCCGTCTTCACATCTTCCCCCGCCGTCTTCTTCTTCAGCACTTTTGTCATCATGTTCTTGCACGTCGGACTGGTCTCGGACCCCCCCAACACGGCCAACATCTACGAAGGGATCAGTAAACTTTTGGAACGATTCCTCCCTGCGGCTTTCATCTCGTTCATCCTCTACCGAATCGCCGCCGTGCCTCTCCTCCGCGGACTCACGGCGCAGATTGAAAAGACGGTCCTGTACTTGGGGTTTTGTTTCATTGGGGCTCTGAACAACTATACATTTGCCCCGTTGATCCCCATCGAGCGTTTGACGCCGCACGACCTGGCCCAACCTGGTGCGCCGTTCGCCCTGGCGATCATCATCATCGTCATCCTCGTCATCGTCGTCACCCAGATCCATTTCATCCGCATTTCCGGCAATATGCCAAAATACCTCGCCATCTACGCCACCATGGGTCTGGCACTGATTATCCTTTTGGTCCTACCGGGGGAGAGGCTGCGAATTCACCACTACATCCTGGCGTTGTTGTTCATGCCCGGCACGGGGTTCCAGACCCGACCGGGACTCGCCTACCAGGGTTTGTTGCTGGGACTGTTCATCAATGGCATCGCCCGTTGGGGGTTTTCGAGTATAATTCAGACTCCCGCGGCGTTGGGAGAGTCCGGCTCCGGTGGCCACGGTGGAGGATCCTGGTGGGGAGCACACTCCCCCAACGTCACGGCCATCGTAGGACCGGCTGCCGACAACATCACCTTTGATTGGGGTCCCCTTCCGAAAGACACTGGAGTAGACGGAGTGAGCATCCTGATCAACGACGTCGAGCGGTGGCGAGGCTACACGGACGAGGAACTTTACTGGGACCAAGAACAAGTCACCATCGATCGACAACGCCGCAAGAGGAATGGTAAAGATGACAATGACAATGACGACGACAACGATAACGGCAACGATGACGGTGACGAAAACCCAGAGGTTGAATTCTTCAGATTCGCCTGGATGAAGGGTAGTGATACAGGAACGTACTCCAAGGTCGGGGTTTGGGACGAGCAAGGGCTATGGCATGGTTGGTCGACGACCAAGTGATGAGGATGATGGCGATGGCCTCGGACCGATGTCTCACATCACCCCACTTTCAAGTGTTTTGCTCAAAGAGATTTCAGAAATACCAAGATTTACTATATACTGTACGGTAAATAGAGCAATCTATTACATTGGATACCTTGGGTAAGGGAGGTTGCTTACGGAGGACCTCGAACACATTTATGTATTTAAATACTTGGATACCTGGGTAGTTTTAACAAGTGACGTGAAACCCGGTTTCTTCTACTCCTAGATCATTGCAGGTATTTGATTTATTCTGATGCCAATCTATCAGATCTACAGATCATTAAAGTTGATCATCACACAAGTCAATGCCTTCTCAATGCCTTCTCAATGCTTCTCAATGCAACACACAAGGTGGAAATGGATCAAGCGCTGGTGACAGCATCAGATCGGAATCGAATTCGAACTCATATTTCCAACTCCAGGATGATTGAGAATCGAAAATGGTCAAGATTCGAAAAGAAGAAGAAATCACAGCTTGGCCTTTGCCTTTCCACCACCCTGTTTCTCCATCTCCAACCCTTCATCGTATAATTGATCTAAGACGTCCCTGAATTTCTTGGCCGCCACGGGTCTCTTCAACTTGAGCGTCGGCGTGAGTAACTCGTTGTCGACCGTGAACGGCTCCACGTACAACTTGATGTTTTTCACGCGTTCGTAACCCGCAAATTTCTTCTTGCGACCGGCCCTGTCGAGATCCTTCAACACGGCGGCCTTGACCTTGGGTTCCTCGCAGGCGGCCTGGATCGCCGCCATGTCCGTGGGCCCGATTTCCTTCCCGAGCACCTTCGACGCAAAGAGCGAAAAGGTGTCGGGTTGCACCCCGAAAATGGCCACGAGGAACGTCTGGACGCTGTCTCCGTGCACAAACGCCTGGGCAAGGTACGAGCAACTCGACAGGTAAACGCCCTCGATGCGCTCGGGGGAGATGTACTCGCCCTGGGCGAGCTTGAGGACGTTCTTGCGGCGGTCGATGATGCGGAACCGGCCGAGCTCGTCAACGCTGCAGATGTCGCCCGTCTTGAACCAGCCGTCTTCGGTAAACGACTTGGCCGTCTCGTCGGGGTTCTTGAAGTACCCCGTGAACACGCTCGAACCGCGCAAGAGCAACTCACCGCGCGGGTACGGCTTGTCCTCCACCGTGTAGTCCATGTCGGGGACCGAGAGGAGACAGGCTTCGTTGCACGGCGTCACGGCGCCGCAGTTGCCCACGCTAAAGTCGTCGACTGGCTGTGTCAAGGCGATCGCATACGTCTCGGTGAGACCGTAACCTTGGAAGACGCGTGCGGAGAAGACAACACGCAGGAACTGCTGTAGAGAAGGATCCAACGGTGCACTTCCGGAAACCATGGTCCTTGCACGCTCGAGTCCGAAGGCGGACGCGACCTTCTTCCCCCATATACGATCGTAGACCGGGTGCGAGTATGTAGGGTTTGGCGTGGTGCTGGGGTTTGCGTTCGCAAGCTTCGTACGCACAATGTACCTCGACAAACTGCCTTTTACGCCAGGCTGTTCTACGGTGTTCGCCTTGATGGCGCCGCCGAAACGGTTGAACAGTCTGGGCACCGAGGCAAAGGTGGTCGGTCTGATGGCTTTGAGGTCCTCGACGAGTTCGAGAGGGTTACCGTGGAAGTAACCTATCCGCCCTGCCGACCAGAGTGCCGTGTGTTCAAGGAGACGTCCGTAGATATGGGCGAGTGGTAGGTACGAGAGTGTGCTAGATTTATTGTCTGCGGCGGAGCTAACGAGAGAAGATGAGGTCGCCGCAACGGCCATGGCGTGGGTGAGCACGACGCCCTTGGGAGGTCCTGTGGTGCCGGAGGTGTAGTTTATCGTGATCGGGTCAGCCGGTCGAGGTGGGTTGACGGGTCGATCGAGCGACGCACCCAGCTTCTCAACGGTGTCGAGAGAGTATATCTTCAACCCTACATCCGCGGCAAACTTGTCCAGGAGGGCTTGCTTGGAGAGTTCCGGCTTCTCACTGCCCGATTCCAGAGGGTCGATGACCACCAGCATCTTCAAGTTTGACAGTCTAGGCTTGAGCTTCAACAACGTCGGGACGTGGGACAGTGAACACACCACGCAGGCCAGGTCGGCATGTCGGATGATGTACTCTGATGTATCTGGGCCGAGGGTGTCGTACAGCGAGACCGAGAAGAGCGATTGAGACATGCATGCGAGATCCGTCAGTTGCCATTCCGGTCTGTTCTGACACCATAGACCGATCCCGTACTGCGTCCCTGTGATTCCTTCTCTTGCGTGTATCTCGACGAGGCCAACGCCAAAGTCCTTGCGACGTTTCGCTACCGTCTCGTAGTCCATCCATTCGTAGGCGCCGTAGGCATTTTTGGAAGAGTCCCACGGCCGCCACCCAAGACAAGGGGAGTGAGGATATCGCTGAGCAGAGTGTTCAAACATGTCATGCCCGGTGAGGACGGAGTTATCGAGGGTCTGGAGAGTGCCATCGGGGCACTTGCAATGCCGATAAACAGAGGTTCGTCCATCGACTTTGGAGTTTGGGACAGTCAGAGAATAGGGCTGGCCTTTGGGTGGTGGTATGCGATACTCGGCGGCCTTTTGGAGGTGGGCAGGCGTTGATGAGAGGAAAGACGGCATGATGACGATGGACTCTAAGTAGGAAAGAAGCCCGTTGAGAAAGTGGTGAGGTGGAAGTGTTTTTGTCCGGGTATCAATGCAGGGATGAGGTCAGCGGGCGAGGATCAGCAGCCCGGTGGACAAGTAATCAAGGGACAAGTCGGGGAGAAGACAAGATCAGTTGTCACGAAAGGGAGAAGAAAGAAGATGACATCCAAAGAGGTGAGATTGTACCGACCATTTGAACACGGTGACACCAAAAATGGCAGAGATGAAAGGGAAGATGAAGTTGACTGGCAAACAATCGGTTAAAGCAATCATCATGATTGCGGTCACGCAGTCGGCGATATTGCCATCCTGGAGTCAGTGCCAAATGCCAATGTCATGATTGATCCACGACTTGTTGCTGGAGCTGCAAACTTGGAGCCTCGGCATCACATTGAGTGGCACGAGCTCGCAACAAGACGAAGCTCTTCAGGCAGATCAGATTCGGGGCGTCCGGAGCACCGTTCCTGAAGAGGATATATCTCCCTTTCTAGGGCCGGAGGGGTGTGTCCGAGTATATGGGGCTGAATAACGATATAACCCTGCTGTACTCCGTATAGCAAGGGTTGTTTTATCACTGACCATGGAACTATTACACGATATCTGAGTTCTGAGGACGACTTCGTGTTGTAGATCTGGGAGGGTGTTTTATGCAGGGTTTGGCCGGATCATGTGAAAATTCCGGAGATACAGCGGACACATGTGAGAATTCTACATTCATTCTCGAACAACGAGGATATTCTGTAACTACCGATTGGCTGCCCCGAAATTCATCCCCCTGCACCACCTATACAGTAGGTACATGTGCAACTACTTAGCCATGATGATGTAAATACTTGTGCCCGTCCTGCCTGTCCCTATTTCTAAATCGGCGAGGGAAGAGTTTATCATCAAAGATTTGGTCCTATTCAGATCCCAACGATTATCAGACGCTGTCTCTCTTACGGACTTTGTGAAATCTCATGGATAGAAAAAGCAATGGAATCAGGTTGCCCCACTGAGTTTAGCATCCGTACTTGGTTTGGACCCTTGTGTCGCATTGTCCGTACTGGCTGCGGCATCAGGCTGCGCTGCGCTACTGGCGGCGAAACTCTGCTCAAAGTCGTGAATGATATCGTCGATATGTTCAATGCCGACCGAGATTCTGATCATGTCTTCGGTTACGCCAGAGTCCAGTCTCTCTTGTTCGCTGAGTTGCTCGTGGGTAGTGGACCACGGATGAATGGCAAGGGTCTTCGCGTCACCGACACTGCAACACGTTAGCTGGTGAGACATATATTTCAACGCCCTTGACTTACTTGGCTAGGTTGGAAATCATCTTGAATCCATCCACCACTTGCGAGCCTGCAGCGGATCCGCCCTTGATGCCGACTGACATGACACCTCCAAATCCTCTGGGGAGGTATTTCTTGGCCAATGCATGGTGAGGGTGACTCTCGAGACCAGGATAGGAGACCCAGGCCACATTAGGATGCTTCTCGAGCCATCTGGCCAGTTTCAGCGCATTCTCAGCGTGGCGTTCGCACCGCAGACTCAGGGTTTCCACGCCCAGAATAAATTGTTGTGCGTTGAATGGTGACATGCAAGAACCAAGATCTCTCAAGATTTCGACTCGGATGCGGATAATAAAGGCTAAAGGGCCGAATGTGTCTACGAACTTCAGTCCATGGTAACCAGGCGCAGGGTCGTTGAATTGAGGGAATCTCTTCGCATTGGCTTTCCAGTCGAACTTGCCCGAGTCCACAATCATACCGCCAATGGAAGTGCCGTGGCCTCCGATCCACTTGGTGGTGCTGTGCACAACGATGTCTGCCCCGTGTTTGATGGGCTGACAGAAATAGCCGCCGGCACCAAAAGTGTTGTCAACGACCAGAGGAACACCCTTGGCCTTGCAGACTTTGGAGATGGCCTCGAAGTCGGGCACGTTATATCTAGGATTGCCAATGGTTTCCACATAAACCGCCTTTGTCTTGTCATCGATGGCATTCTCAAAGTCCTCGGGCTTCTCAGACTTCAAGAACTTGGTCTCGATACCCAGACGAGGGAGCATGACCTTGAACTGATTGTAGGTACCTCCATACAAGTTCGAGGTGGAGACAATGTTGTCTCCTGCATGCGCCAATGCGATGATGGTCATGAACTGCGCCGACTGACCGGAGGAAGCAGCTACGGCAGCAACGCCACCTTCAAGCGCAGCGATTCTCTTCTCCAGGACATCAAGAGTAGGGTTCATGATTCTGGTATAGATGTTTCCAAACTCTTTCAAGCCAAACAGGCGGGCGCCATGAGCAGAGTCGTTGAAGGTATAGGAGGTGGTTGCGTAGATGGGTACGGCGCGAGATTTGGTAGCTGGGTCTGGCTCCTGGCCGGCATGGATCTGGAGGGTCTCGAATCTCGAGACATGGTCGTCGGCCGACATGGTGACAAGATTTGGGCGATCTTTGTAATGTGGTAGTAGTCTTAACAGTGAGCTGTGCAATCTCAGTCGCACAAGCGGCTGCAGACAAGATCAAGGAGATATAGTCAGGATTTGTCAGAACGGCGAACAAGAGTAGGGCACGAATAGTCTCTTCCGAGCAAAATTTTATCACCGTATGAGTAGTGGAAAGCTGGGAGCTACTTGACCTTTGAAGGAAGAATAGATGCGACTGGTGTCAACGTCTTCCCCGCACTCGATGAAGAGGTGCCCGAATTGCGTGATCAGAGCCAATTCCACGCCGGCGCTCCCAGTCAGTAAACGGGGCCCAAGTCGCTAGGACCAATGCGAAGGTGATCAGACATGTTGGTTGCTCGTATCCTATTGAACACATGGACACTTCGAGTGTGAATACGAGCTGGTGGTATTCGAGTGACACAATGTAGAGGATGTCGATGAAGAACACGATAGGCGTGTTTAGGTCACTTCAAATTGCAGGCACTAAATAGCCGAGAACGTGTATTTGCGACAGATCTGACAGGACACATGCCGCGTGGCATGACCAGACAGACATGGGATATTATCCGTATTCGACCAAGCTGACTGCATCAAGCTGAAGCAATACTATCTATATCTTTTTTCATCTCTTGAAGTTTGTTGTGATCCTGGAGATCCCCTGATTCAATCTCTCCTCAAAAGCGGGTGGATGTGGTACCGAGTACCAGCCAGCGTTCGGGGTGCATGGGATTCCGTCTCAGGGGTCCATGAAACGCCAGATTGGGCAACCAAACTGGAGAAAGGCGGACATCAGCGGACAGAAGAGCCTCCGGTGCTGAAGGATGAGGCCTTCATTTTTTCCAGTTAGCTTCGTTCTCCTGTTGACACTCATTCTGCGACAACCACGCCGCCAAAGGAAGAGCGTTCCATTCGTTCTTTTCTTCTGTCGAGCGAGCCCGCCCCTGCACGATATCATCACCTAGCCATGGGTATACAGAAGGACAACAGCTCCTTCGGGTGGCTAATGCCCGGCCGGGGTAAAAAGCCAGTCTTACTCAAGTATCGCTCAAATAAGACTTTCATCCTGTTTGCAATGTGCTGGTCGGTCTTTACTGTAAGCATGATTGTACCTGTACCTGTATGTCGTACTGATCCCTGAATAGGATGTCTTTTTGTACGGGGTGATTGTTCCCGTCATACCATTCGCTCTACGGGACCGTCTTCATGTGTCAGCTGAGGATACCCAGCACTGGGTTTCAGTCCTGCTGGCCGTTTATGCTGCAGCCCTGCTATTCTTTTCGCCAATATTTGGTTACCTTGCAGATTGGGCCGACTCACGTAAGACATCATTGCTTGCCGGACTCTTCATCTTGGCTGGCTCAACCCTCATGCTATGCTTGGGGAAGACAATCCCAGTCTTGGTGGTTGGACGGATGTTGCAAGGTGCTTCAGCGTCCGTGGTCTGGGTCGTTGCCCTTGCCTTGCTAGCTGATACTGTCAGCGAGGAGGAGTCGGGGCAGGCCATGGGTTATGTGGGAATGGCCACATCTTTGGGCGTCTTGGTTGCGCCTCTCATCGGTGGAGTTGTCTACGAACGGTCAGGATACTATGCCGTGTTCGGAGTAACATTTGCTGTCATTGGGGTTGACATACTGTTCCGTCTCGCCTTGGTCGAGAAGAGACATGCTGCTAGATGGCTAGAAGCAGAAACACCCTCGGCGTCAGCAGCACTCTCTCATAACGACGTCGAGCTTCAGAATCGCCACGAACCAGAGATCGATGCCAGAAAGGAGGCGGGGAGCAGCACCACTGCCCCTTCTGCTGTCGCATCCCCCAAACGAAAATTACCACCAATACTTGTTCTCCTCAAGTCACGTCGCATCCTGGTAGCGTTCTGGGGCAGCATGGTGGTGTCGATGACAATGACTGCTATCGACTCGACCCTCCCTCTGTTCGTACATCAAATCTTCGGCTGGGATTCACTCGGAGCCGGACTTGTCTTTCTCGCTCTGATTGCTCCGACTTTTGTCGGGCCTCTCATAGGTTATTGGACAGACAAATATGGCCCTCGCTGGTTTGCAGCGTCAGGGCTGCTCTTCTGCGTACCTTTTTGGGTGTTGCTGAGGCTCATCGACCATGACAACACCAACCAAATAGTTCTTCTCTGCGCACTGCTCGTCCTTCTAGGCGCTGCGACCACTCTTGTAATGATATCCTTGATGGCAGAGTTTAGCAAGGTCTGCGATGCGAAGGTGCGGCAAGATCCCGATTTATTCGCAGGAAAATCGGCCTATGCGCAGAGTTATTCAATCTTCAACGTGGCCTGGGCAGCAGGCAGTTTACTTGGACCTTTGATTGCAGGTGCAATAAAATCATCATCCGGCTGGAAAACAATGACCTGGACCATGGCTCTTTGGTGTGCGGTTGGAGTTTTGCCCACGATCATTTGGTCGGGCGGAAGGATCAAAAAAGGGAAGAGACCAAGCAACAGCGGTGGCATCCTAAGCGAAGAAAGCACATAGAAAAGGGGGTTTCGTAGAGTCTGGAGTTGTATGTTGTCGGCTAATATGCATTTCATGTTGCACATCAACAATTCAGGGTGTTACCACGAACCGCGGACACTTTAAGCAGCCAGACAAGTCGTTTGACTCACCACACCCAAAACTCTTCCATTGCGCTGTTTTTGATGTGGTTGTGTTTTTCCTCTCCAATCATTATGTCTACTCATATTGCTAGCTCAGACAATGGTGTTTCTTTTGGCGGTTGCTGCTGCTCCAATCAAATGGACGACAAAGCTGCCATTATGAAACGCAGATTCTTGCAGTTGCGCGACTTTGATTATTGTTTGATTGGACTTTCCTCGCCAGTTTCATCTCAATTCTATTGACTGCCATCATCTTCAAACGTGTTTCCTCTTCTTGCATCACGGTCAGCCAAAGGTCGCCTTCATTCACGATGCTTTGAGGACATGTTTCAAACGCCAATCTCCATGCGCGCCGTTTGACTGATACAACATGCTTTCCACTGTACAAACTATTGAACGCATTCTGCCGTATTTATGAGTACCGGTCTCGCATCTTTTTCTCATGGTGTTGAACTCTCCTGGTCACAGAAAACTGACAAAATCCTCTTCCCTTTGCCGGGAGTGCGCAACACGTCTCGCCTCTCCCGCATTGATTTGATATCTTGAGACGGCTTTTTTCCCCTTGCATTCCATTCTCCCCTCACCTTTCAGGCAAAGAGAGGGCTTTCTTCTTGCATCATCTCAAGGTTGACTCTTCCAAGCTGTCACTCTCATACATCAGACTTTCATAATCGGCATCGGCCCTTTTCTGCATACATCATGAAGATGCGTTTGGATCCTATGCTTGTGGTCCGCGGCCTACAGGGCGTCCTGGCCTTCATAGCCATGGCCGTGGGAGCGACTGGTTCGTTGACCTTTCTTCGCGTCCCATCATGCTAATTACAAAACAGTTGCGAACGTCCTCAACTCTCATAGCCCTGAAATTCATGTTCCAGGCACTGTCATCTTCTACATCTTCACGGCTGTGTTTACCTTGCTCATTACCGTCCCCTATACCATCATCGCACCACGGTATTTCCCGACTCTGGCTCATCCATACGCAATGCTTGCGGCAGAAGCCATCACTTCGGTCTTTTGGCTGTCCGGATTCGCCGCCATGGCCGACTTTCTGAGGAGGTCTACCGTCTGTGACGTTGGTGCGTGCGCATCGACAAGGGGAAGTGTGGTAGTTGGCGTGTTTGAATTGTGAGTTTTGCCAACTCTCCTCATTGCCTGCACTGGCTGACCGCATTGACAGCCTACTTTTCGCTGTCACCGCTTTCTTTGCATTCTCTCACGTCTTCCTCGGGGACAGATTTGCTGGAAAGAAGACGAACAACAAACAACTAGAAGAGTCGAGATCATGGTCGGGCGCGGAGCAAGTGTAAAGACACAACGAAAATTAAGCCCATGAGGTAAAATAGGTTTATCAAAATTATGTCATGCCAGGGAAGGGCATCGAGGGTGGTGGAAGTCCACAAAATGCGGGCGCAAGTATTGTTGTATACATACCTGCTCCTTGCTGTACTGTAACAATATGCTTCAACTTTTAAAATCCAAGCCATCAACCAGCGAGGTCCATCACACTGGTGCAACGTTCCAGCTTCCTTGAAAATATTTTACTTTGGCCCTCAATCCCTTGACCAGTTAATTTACTAGTCATAGACCACTGATGAAATGGCTAGTTAGAAGTGGTATATGTTCATGAGAGGCGTGGAACGTGCGAATCAACCTGGCAGCGGGCTTTACTCGTAATTGATGATTGATCTTCTATCACCGCTAGCCTTGAGGGGCCTTGTAGAGAGAATGACCATCGTACATGCCGATTTTTGCATATCTCATGATTCCGTTCAGTCTTCACTCCTTCACTCTATGGACCGACTCTTGTCATATCGAGATAAGTGACCACACTTGAAGGCATCCGCCAGAATTCCTATGAGCGTGTCGGTGGTACTCCCACAATCATTCCTTAGTTTCCGGTGGCATATTTTGCCTTTGCCTTTGGAAGTCTCTCGATGATGCGCGGGATGAAGTATTCCTTGTCCCAAGTCGCGAGGACGGAGGGATGCTCGGCGCAGAGTTTCATCCAGCGCGCGAAAAACGGCAACGTGGGCCCCGTCATACGTTCGCCGAGGGAGGAAGGTAAGATTTCGCCGTTTGCAAAATCGTACAGGCGAGTCGTAAAGGGGGCGGTCATTGCCTAGAATGGGAAAGATGGTGAATTTAGTAAAAGGGAAAAGGGTCGGTTCGAGGATCATAACAAGACATGAATAGAGAGGGGGCGGGGGCGTGAGATAAAGACAATAGGGTAGTTGGTCGGGAAGGCATTTACCTCGACGAGAGTCAGTTCTTTACTGTTTGCGAAATATGGCGCAGCTTCTGCGAGTAGAGGTTCAATCTCCTTTTCGAGGAGGGCGATGCAATCGTCAACCAACTTTTCTTTGGCCTGGACGTCTTCGGTGCCCACGATCTTGAACATGAACGGATTGATCTTGGTGAAGTAGGTGTCTACGAAGAAGGCCATGCGGTATCGTACATGGGCCTTTCCGACGTCGTCGATCGATGGTGGTGACGAGGGGCCGGTGGGGAGGGTCGGGAGAAGAGATGATGATGGGTAGAGATCCATCAGAAAGGAGACGATGGGTCCCGACTCTGTGAGGGTCAGAGTCGGGGATGAGGGTGAAGCGGTGTACTGAAAGACTGGGACGAGGCCGCGCTGGCAGTGCGAAAAATGAAGTGTGATTAGTTTTGAGGCTAGTAGTGATGGTCTTCAAAGTGTCGGATTGCCCAACCTCTACATGGCAGGACGGCCTGGTTGCAAAGAGGACAAGGACGGGTGTCTGTACTTACTGGGTTCATCTTTAGAAACCACTCTGGCCTCGCGTTGTCCAGGTCAACGAGGACTTCTTCATATGGCAGACCAAGTTCTTTCAGGACGATCTGCACCCGATGACACCAGCCACAACCATGGTTGGTGTACATCTTGATCTTGGGGAATTGGCCATTGTTCTGGTTGGTAGCTGTGGTGAGGGACATGATTGCCGGGAATGTGGAAGGTAAATGAGAGAGGATAGGATAGAGAGCAGTCTTCAAGATCAGATTCAGGTGAATGGGTAATGGGAAGTGTCACAGGTCCAGGCAGGTCACGTTTTGCCGCGTGAGACTGCTTAGGAAATATGAAGAAAAGAAGAACAAAGGAAGAAGGGCGCATGGGAAGACCAGGGCTCATTCTTAAGGGCAGAGAGGTGTCAAGCCATTCCCACTAGTCTTTCTCTCGATCCTGAATTTTATCTAGCCGCGGACGAAAGTCGACCGAAACTTCCCTTCCGCGGTGTGACATACATTGGAATGTCTTCAGCGCATGTTGTTACATGCTAATGATTATTGAAAGTTCGTTGCAATTTCGTTGTGTCTATAAAACAATGGTGTCGAACGAGTATCAGGAGGTCGATAGTTGATGTAAGGCTGTGATTGAAAGTTGTCAGTCTGATGGCGAAGATGTGAGCACGCTTGAGCATGAATCACGTGATTTTTTTGTCCGCCGAGTTTCTCGGTGTTGTGTTCCAATGTACAAGAATACGGCGGAGTATTTGGTATCTAGCATCGAAGTTGGGGCAATGGCATCGTCTATCATAATAAACAGCTGTCTACGGAGTACCTCGGGCGGAACTTGAGATGTGAGTATCTCGTAAACTCATGACCGCATCAATGCTATCAAATGCATAATCAGTCACAATAACGTCTTAAATTCAGCCTGTTTCGTGATTTGTAACAGACTGGTAGGTGAGTGAACTTGCTCCGTGATAAGTATGGTTCTTGCTCCAAAGGTATGCTCCGGCGAGGAAAACAGTGGTGTACAATAAATCCTTCGGTAGAACAGAGTGCGTGCTTCTTCAGTATGTCTACAAGTACGTCTCATTTCACAGGCAGACTCGCGAGAGCCGTGATTGACCATGGTGTTAATCGCCTATCTGACCACCCAGGCTCAGTCCGAAGATCGACCGGGTCAATGCATCATCGACTTTGCAAGCTTGTCGAGAGACTTGTTCTTCCTCATCTCTCCCGCCCCCCGCCACCGACTTATGCTGGGGAACAAGGCAAAGTCGGTATATTTACGAGCTTCCCGAAACAGTTACTCCGTACCCTCTACAACCATGGAGACTATACACAATGCGGATGCGGGGGTGATACATTCATCTTTAGGCTATATTCAAGCTTCAATCATCCTTCTCGGCCTGATGCCTTTTGCCTCCGCAAGCCCCAGACCATGTCCATGTCGATCACCTGCAACCCATTTCCTCCACGTCCACCGGGTTCTTACCACAATGGGGCCAAATGTGTACCTCGGAGGTTCAGTATAAGATGGTAGCTATCAAGATGTTGTTTGTGTGGCCCTCTGAAGGCACTCACCAACCATGGTTTCGTTTTGGGTATTGGTAGCCCTGCTCCAGCTCAGCACTGCGACGTGGGCACGAAGTGTTACCAGGGCACCAGCGAAAAGACAGTCGTATGACTTCATCAATATTACTCAGTACAACAGTACTCCCAGTCCCGTTGAGGTCAGCGTTGCACTAAATGCCGGAGGAAGGAATCAGACCGCACCTCTGCTGTATGGTTGGTGAGTAATCTTTTTTCGGGTAGCTAAACATCAATGACCATCTAGCTGACCAGAAGTAGGATGCATGAAGACATCTCGCATTCTGGTGATGGAGGAATCTACGGCGAGGCTCTAGTGAACCGCGCCTTTCAAGGCTCTGGGGCAACCATTGGCCCTCTACCGGGTATTCCAGGCAGTAGTGTCCAATATTCCGAGAACCCAATACTACCATGGGGTCCGGTCATCACTGGCTGGCGAGGTATTGGAGGAGTCAATCTCAGCTTGACACTTCTTCATCCCTTGTCCGATGCTCTGCCGGTTGCCTTGCAGATGGACATCCCCTGGGACGCTTCGGGTGAAGTGGGAATTCTAAACGAAGGCTGGTGGGGGATAGACGTTCGTCCTGGGACATACAACGCGTCTTTTTACATCTTGTCCAACAAACCACGCAACAACGGGACCTTGTCTCACATCGATGTGTCCTTACGATCGAATCTGACGGACGACGTTTGGTGTACTTCCAGTATGTCGTTCGGGGAAGGGCAGAATATCTCGAGCTTTGAATGGAAACAGTATGATGTTCAACTCGGCAATACCGTCAAGGCTCCAAATTCGAACAACACTTTCGCCATTACCTTTGACGCGAGTGAAGTCGCCGGGAACACGTACTATTTCTCCCTCGTGAGTTTGTTCCCAGAGACGTACATGAATCGGGCAAACGGAATCCGCAAAGACCTCGGTGAAGCCATTGTGGGTCTTGGTTCCAAGGTGTTGCGATTCCCTGGAGGCAACAACATTGAAGGATACAGCATCGATCAACGATGGAAGTGGAACGAGACTATTGGCCCACTTAAAAACCGCAAGGGTCGCGTGGGCGACTGGGGTTATACCAACACCAACGGTCTAGGACTCATGGAATATCTGGAGTTCTGTGAAGATGGTGGTATTGAACCTGTTCTTGCCGTGTATGCAGGCTTCTCTCTCGACATCTGGGGCCAAGACGGTGTTTCGTTCCCCGAGGACCGCATGGGCGATGTACTTCAAGACATTCTGAACGAGCTCGAGTACGTCACCGGCGATGCGAGCACCCAATACGGGGCCCTTCGAGCTTCTCACGGTCATCCTGAACCTTTTGCTCTCAACTATGTCGAAATCGGGAACGAAGACTTCTTCAGCTCGACGTATCCGTACCGTTTCCCGATACTCTACAACGGCATAAAGCAGGCCTACCCGAACATAACTTTGATTTCTACGACGTTCGATGAGAACGCTGATTACAACATCACGGTAAGTCTAGGTTTACTCCCCACAAATTGTCTCGTCCCCCACCGGGCTCACCTATGTAACCTGACTGACTTGTGTGTCTTTCCTACTAGATCCCAGCCGGAGGCATGTGGGACACTCACCACTACGAAGAGCCGAGCTACTTCATCGAACACTTTGACTTTTTCGACAACTGGCAAGAGTCGACCGGCAACGCCGACGTGACCGTGTTCGTGGGCGAGTACTCTGTTTTCCAGGTCGACACGCCCGACGGCGTGGTCAACTACTCGATGCCTCTGGGCGAGCACATCTTCTACCCGACCCTGATGGCCGCCATCGGCGAAGGGGTGTACCTGCTGGGCGCGGAGCGGAACCCGAACGTGGTGAAGATGTCGGCGTACGCACCGAGCCTCGTCAACCTGAACTGGCAAAATTGGACCCCCGATTTGGTGGCGTTCACTGCGGATCACGACCAAACCGTCCTGAGCGCCAGTTACTACCTGCAGCAACTGTTTGCCTCGTACCGCGGCACGCAGACGCTCCCCGTCACCACCAACCAAGGAGACTACAATCCTCTGTGGTGGGTCGCCACGGCCACGGAAGGTGACGGACAGGTATATTTCAAAGTCATCAATTCTGGAAACAGTAGTGTTCCATTGACGGTGGATTTTGACAAAGGGTTCAATGCTGTCAATGGGACTATATTGGTGAGTATTTTCTCCTTCTCATTGTCTTTTTACTTTTACACCGTAATCCAAATCAACTAACTTCATTATTTTCCAAACCTAGACACATTCTGATATAGGAGCGTTCAACTACATTGGCAACGCGACCGCCGTCTCATCCGCACCCATCACGGATCTACCGGCTGATTCGGCGGGACAGACGACCTTCACTTGGGCCGTTCCACCTTGGTCGATTAATGTGTTGGAGTTCCAAATGACATGAATCTGATGGTACGAAAAAAAGCTTAACCGAAGAGCTAAAGATGGATTAATAGCCGTGAGAAGGTATAGGAAATAGTTTGTTAGACGTTTACGTGGTTCTTACGTACTGCGAGATACTATCAAGACACAGATATTATCATTATCAAAGAGTAATTGGACACTTGGATGTAGATCAAAAAGTCAATCAACTAATTGACTCAATCGATTCATTCCTTGAGGTTTTGTTTATCTTCTATTGAAATTCAAGTACCTCGACCCGATGAACAACAGGATCAAGTTACTGGCGATGAAGGCGGCAAAGATGCCGAAATCCCTCCACCGATCGTCGAAATTGAGCTGGAGTGGTTTGTAGAATTCGTCCCCGACCTTGTACGCGCAGTACTGACACAGATCCGTGGCGTTATTGACGAGGTAACCCGGACCGCCGGCCTTGAAAAAGTCCGACATGTACGAACCGCAGTCTTGTCTGGGGGGAGCAGGGAACTCGTTGAGCTCGTGAGGTTTGCAAACGACAGGCAACCCGTGCAACTCGGTCGTGACCATTCCGGAAACGAGTCGAGTGAAGGGGTCGAGCTGGTAGAGCCAGGCTCGCCAGAAGCCGGGGATCTGCGGTTTGGGGATGGTCACACCACAGAACAACGCAAAGATGATCACCACAAACGGGTTGATCAAACTAGAAATGAAGCTCGAGGGGGTCAGGGCCGCTATCATCTGGCCCGCCGTGACGGAAAACAGTTCCGTGACAAGGACAATGAAGAATTGGTAACCAGCCCTGGAGGACGACGCGTTGAAGCCGGGGAGGTAATAGATCGGTATGAAGAAGAAGACGGCACACAAGATGCTATAAGGCATCTCGGCGCAGACCATGGCGAACGCAAAGGGGAACTGTTTGTACGCTTTCGCCGCGGACTCCCGGTAAAAGATCAATCGTGACAAATCGTACATGGGCTCGACCTGGGCCAGGATCAAGGCCGGAATGACGGTGACCTGGAAGATGACAAAGACGCGGTACTGCAGACTCGAGCGGCTGTCGTCGAGTTGCAAAAAGGCCAAGCCCGACAGCAAAGCGATGGCCACGTGGTTGAACAGGCGCGTGAAGCCGTAGTTGGGCGCCCGCCAGAATGCCAGGTGCGTGCGCCAGCTGACCACCTTGATCTGGTGCCAGAGCGGACTGGCGTATTCCTTTTCGTCGAGTCGCACCTCGCTGGCGGCTTCGCGTTGTCGACGTGCCTTCATTTCGACGATCTCGGATTTTGTTGTCGCCAATTCCTCACTTTCACGCCAGATCTCACCCCAGTCCTTGTCGCCTATACGAGGCGCTATACCGGCTCCGATGGCGTCGAGCATCCATTCGGCCGGGTTGGCATCGGCGGGACAGTCGGCGCCGTACTTGTGGAAGTATTTCAACAAGACGTGTGCGTCCTTGCCAATGTCGCCAAAGTACACGGTCTCACCACCTCGCTGGAGCAGCAGGAGTCTGTCAAAGTTCTCGAACAGTGCACTGTTGGGCTGGTGGATCGTGCACAGGATGGCTTGTCCCGCTGCGGCGAGCTTGCGGAGGAAACGGACAATGTTGAAGGCAGACTGCGAATCTAGACCGGATGTGGGTTCGTCGAGGAACAAAAGCAGTTGAGGTTTCGCGGCGAGTTCGACGCCAATCGTCACACGCTTGCGCTCTTCGACCGACAGACCACTCTCTGGACTACCGATGATGGCGTCGGCGAGGTTTTCGAGTTCGAGAAGGCAGAGGATCTCCTCGACGTACGCGTACTTTTGCTCGCGTGGTACTTCGTATGGCTGGCGCAGGTCCGCACTGAATCGGAGGGCTTCACGCACTGTCTGGGTCGATTCGTGCACGTCGAGTTGTTCGGCGTACGAGGTACCTCTTTGGAAGCTTATGCCCGGTTTCTGTCCATCGACAAGGATGTCGCCACCGATGACACCAATGTTCTTACGCGCCGCAAGCACGTCCAGAAGGGTCGTCTTTCCTGCCCCACTTGCACCCATGAGGGCCGTCAGTTGCCCCGGGCGTACGTAACCAAATACGTCTCTCAAGAGACGGAGTTGACCTGACGGGGTCGGTACATCATAAGTCAAGTTCTCCCAGGTAAGGATTGCCTTGGAGCTGATGTTGAGTTCCGAGCTGTCATCGGCATCTTGCTTTGTCTGTCTCCGTTTCTTCCGCTGCTGCAGCTTCTCGTTGAGTTCCTTTCTCTCCTTATTCTCTTTGGTGAAATAAGTGACCGTCCGACCACCAGCACCGTACTTGACAGTCTCACCCAAGACGACGTTGGTGAACAGAAAGAAGGCACATAGCACCACGATGATTCCCCAATTGCGCCAGAGATCGCTGGGGTCGTATTGAAAGCCAGTCTTGACATAGGCGCTACCCGAGACTTCGTTGGACCCTGCTACAGAGCCTGGCAGAGTACAGACTTGATGATCGATGTTGTTGTAGTCCGGTCCAGCGGGGATGAGCGACTCCGCCGTACAGCGCATGGTCAATCTCTCGAACTCGTTCATCATCATTGCTGCAAAACCCAACCCGAGCGCATTGATGTAGAAAATCCAGCGTAACCATACTTGCTGACTCTGGTATTGGATGATATAACCCGACGTGATTACAAACAAAGTAATGGTGACAGCAGCAAATTTGATGGCGTAGTCAAAATCCGGACATAAACAGCCGATGGTACGGAACAGCAATGTCATGGACAGGTAGCCGGAAATGATGATTAGCACAAAGGTGAAGAATGCGCCTGGTGTCCTGACGAGGCCAGTCATGAAGTACACAATAACAGAGAAGACAAAGATCTGAACCGAGGCAAAACACAAGTCGACCAAAATTTGCGCCAGCCAGAGTGCTCCAGGACGATGGAAGGTGTATGCTCGATGCTTGTTAACGATCGGCCGCCCAAGCATGGTAGATGCGAGTTCGGAAAAGGCTTGAAAGGCGTTGAAGAGTAATGCAATGAACAAGACACCACCACGAGTGAAGGCACCTGCTGAAGTCTTGGGTTGGTCCAACCAAACGGTGCCGACGACAATGGCAATGACAATCGAAGTGACCCACGAAACAACCAAGGAGAATTTGTCCTGCCACTTGATGAGGAATTGTCTCTGCATTAATGCCCAGATCTGCATGTAAAAGGGAACTGAGTAGACTGAATTCTTGGGGGTATGTTTCCGCTTAGCCTCTCGGTGTGCTGCTGCAAAGTCGTCGTAGATTTGTTTCTCTTCGCGGATCGACTCTCGATAGGCTGTCATCTCCTTCGACAGTTTCTCGGCATATAATGAATCATTGAATGCCGACACCAGAGCGTCAGGCGTTGAAGGTACGTTCTCTGAAGATCTGCCAGGTTTGTATTCGCGCTCGAATTCGTCAGTACAACCGGTGAGGTAGTCGGGTGTCGTTTGCCGTGGTTTCTCGAGGAATCCTAGTCCTTCAAAGTATCCTCTTGCTTCTTTGGCCGGGCCGAAAAAGACCTGTCTTCCCTGGTCAATCACCATCACCTTATCAAATTGCTTGTAGATGTTCTCGGATGCTTGATACAGGGAGACAAAGGTCGTAGTTTTGTAGATGTTGGTCATGATCCGGAGCGACTTGGCGTAGTCCAATGCGGTGGAAGCATCAAGGCCACGGGTGCTGTTATCCCAAGCACAGACCGTGGCTGCGGTCACCATCATCTCAGCGATTGAAACTCGTTTTCGCTCGCCGCCTGAGACACCACGCATGAACGGGTTTCCCACGATTGTGTTGATGGTATGCTCAATGTTGAACATCTTGAGAAGCAAATGAATAACTCGGTCTTTGAATTCAGCTTTACTCATCCCAAGTGGTCGCTTCCCCGGTGTTTTGGTGTCGAGGGCAAAGCCAAGTGTCTGGCCCACAGTCAAGGTCGGGTGATGAATGTCGTCTTCTTGGTTGTACACTGCCTCTCCTCGATATAGTTTGGCAAATGTCGACGAGTCAAAGGGACCGTAAAGTACCTCGCCGTCGATGCCAGTATAACCGTAGCGCTGGTTGGCAATCACTTTAAGAAACGTTGTACATCCGCTTCCCGGACGACCGAGAACGAGAACCATTTCTCCCGGCTTTGCGACCCCCCGGAAAGTCTTTAGAATATTGAATTCTTTGCCCTTCTTTCCATAGCCCAAGATCGACATGATGGTTCCAGGAACATTGAAAAAATCGATGAAGGCGTCCGGAAAGACTTTGACAAAATTCTTCACCCCGCCGATACCACGGACGGTCAAATTGTCCCAAACAACCCCAATATACTTCGACTTGATGCCTGCAGCAACAGCAGCCTCACGGTTGCCCCGAAGGGTTGCCTCGAGATCGAATCCTTGTTCAGATGTGTAGTCGGAAGAGCTGATGGCCTTCTCCAGATCCTTTCCCTTGGCCACGGAAGGTCTCGACTGCGAGCGCGACATGCGACGGCTGATGGAGCTGAATTCTCTATTCAGCTCTGCAAATTCCTTCTGTGCACGCTCGACATCGACGCCAGACGCCGTCCTTTGGAGGCCATACGAGTCTGACGACGTCCGAGACTTTTCCGGGCGCTTCTCATGATCAACGGTGTGCATCTCGCCGACTACATCGGCCTCTGATGTCCAAGTAGATGCTGGGGCATTCTCCCGGACATGGTCATTTGCCGAGAAGCCATGTTGTTGGGCTGGCTTGTCGAGACTCAGCGCTCTCGAAATCGCCTCAGCCATTGTTTACCCAGAATCGTGTATGAGTACGGACCGCCCCCCACAACTTTCCGGATCCCAACTCCCCCCAGCGCGGAATAGTCGCCCAGCAGGCAGACCGAAGGGCAAGATGAATTAAATATAAAACAGTGTACAAAAAGAAAGGTAATGGCAATGTAGTTCTCGGGGTTTCAGTTCGAGAATACCTTGCGCATTGAACATTGTCTCTGTTTGGTGTTTTGTGGCAGAGTAAAGGAAAAGAAATTATTTAGTTCCGTGTTGGGCTCAGGCAAATGTGGGTTCGTCCAAGGGCACTGTCCGATGTGGGAGGAGCTTACTGATTAATCAATCACGGAGCATATCTCTGTGATTGGTCTTGACCATCGCGACAAAGGGTCTTAGCCGCGGCGATGACTCTTAAGATCATTGCGCCTCTCGCAAAATGGAGACGATACGAGTCGGATCTGAACAGAGCAGTGGGGTAGCTTTTTTCGTACAAGTACTGGACTGAGGATCCTCAATCAAAACAGTCTCGTTGCGACCATGACCTTCGGCCGAATGCTTGCGAAACTCTTGCCAGATCCACTGGTCCGTACGCTTTTGATACTCATACAGTACGCACAATTCGACGTGCATACGACGACATTCAATCAGGGGCCTGGCTCAAGTCACAGATATGCGAAAACCTCCCCGGCTCCCACACTCCACATGCGAGCAGCATGGCAGGCGGAAATGTTCTCGCTTTCACCTCCTCATTAGTAAAATCCATCAGCCAAGAGACCGTGTGGGCCTGCGAGGCCTCTTCCCGGTGTCGCTCTCGCTTGTGGCAGAACAGGGGATCCTTTTAGTGCTCCAGGCGGCTTGTTGATCTTGGTCTAGTTGCCTCGTACGAGTATGTACTGTAGTCGGAAGCCCGTGGGAGGATTGACTGTTGGTTGAAATTTGTCGGCTGATGTGATGCTTCGTACAAGTGCACACAGTCCTGCCCAGACTTACAGACTCCCCTAGACTCCTGAAAGGGAAACACATCGTACTGTCCCTCCTCCATTGTTGTTTGGATTTTACCCCTCGGCGTCGAGGCTCTACTGGCCCTGTCTTTCTGTCTCTTTTATGTTGTGTGATACCATTGGACCAGAGAAATGCCGCTTATTCAGCGGCAATTCTGTTCCTTAAGTCCATATAGTAATGTCCGAGATCCATATTGTACGTTGGGAAGGAAGAAAATTACTCCGACGTCACTCCATATTGCCTGGATACGGAGTATGTATGGAGTTCTTGACAGTAATTCGTGCTCGTCCTCGTCCGGCTAGGTATCAACTCGTCCGAGTAAGCGGCAATGGATCTCTGCCCAGGCGGACAAGACCTACGAGTACGCTGAAATCCTGCAGAACCATTCCGAGCACGGGTGCATATCCGGGGTCAAAATCATCATCAACACTTTTCATGCCTTTATGTACAATGAAATATATATCCACAAAATCGGGCATGCTGTCTTCCACTACTATTCTCGTTTCCTTCCAGTCATGGCGGACAAAAATCGCTTGATGCTCTTCCCAGATCGAGTATTTGATGCAGTCGGAACGTCAGTGCCTTCTTCCGTCACATTGTGCTTACCCACTATGCTGAGAAAGACCTGGTCGAGCGTTGCCCGGCTCACACTGTAGAACTGAATCTCTTGATCAGCTTTGTTTGTTTCAAGAGCTGCAAAAAGTCTAGATATGCCCGAGCTTCGATTGATTTCATCGCCCTTCTCGCGCAATGCTGCTGTGGGCACAGAGAACCGGATCTGTCCAGCATATATCTTGCTTTCGACTTCGGCCTGCGGGAAGGTGGTGCTGACCCAGATGCGAATACGCTCCATTTCTTGCTCGGATGTATGAGGGGCGTGCCGATGGACAAGGTGGACATAATAGGCATCTCCGTGCTTGCGTCGGAGGTATTCAGTGCTTCCTAGAGCAAGCATTTTTCCAGCCATGATTCCGGCTCGCATGGCGAGAGCATCTGCTTCCTCCATTGAGTGAGTCGTCAGAACCAAAGACCGGCCAGGTACCACCGACTTCAGTGTTTGCCACATAACACGTTTGCTTGCGGCGTCCATACCCGAAGAAGGCTCGTCAAGCAACAACACGCTTGGATTGCCCATGAGGGCAATGCCTAGGGATAATTTACGCTTGTTGCCACCTGACAACTTCGCAGCCATGCGATCTGCGTATTGCTCCAGTCCAACAGCTTGCATGACTGCGTCAACATTGTGACCAGGGTCAATGACTCCGCGGACCTTGGCATAGAAGTTGAGATGTTCTGCTACTGTCATCGTGTCCATCGCGTCGAATTGAGGACAAACTCCCAATCGATATCTGGCTTGAGTCCGGTGACGAATAACTGAAATATTGTCCACAAGGATGTCACCTCCTCGACGACTTGGCTGAATGTCGCCTCTAATGAGCGAAATTGTTGTCGACTTGCCAGCGCCGTTCGGCCCGAGGAGTGCGAACACCTCGCTGTGTGGAACGCCAAATGTCACATTATCGACTGCGAGATTCCTGCCAAAGTACTTGGTCAAATGAAGAACACGAAGCCCATCTTGTGAAGAATTGACTCGTGTGAGCTCATTGGAGACCTCAGCTTCAAGTGTATCTTTCGACTCAACTTCTTCTTCCTTTGCTCTACTACGCCAACGTTGAAAGGTCGGGCCCGAATCCCACCATAGAAGCAGGCAGAACAGCGCGACAGTATGCAATATCAAGTACAAGATTGGGCCACCGAATGTAGTCATTGATCCGGGATAAGAAGCGAATTGTCGATCTCTGCAAGTGATTGAGAACACATTCAGGGTGATAAAAAGTGCTCGAGTGAGATTCGCCACTGGAGATATCGCGGCAATCGTAAAATGACATACATTGACGTAGTCATCAATTTTGTCGATGGGCGAATACGTTAACACGCTCATCTAAGATTCGTCAGCATGACAACGACGTCAGCACAGGCTTCACGCTCATCACAGAGCGTGTCAAGGGTCAGAACTTACGTATGCAATGAAATAAAGAAGAAACATTACAGCCTGTCCTCCAGCAGCGAATGCAAAGGCTGCTAGTTGCGACCTCGAAAACAATGAAATAACGTACGACAATAATGTCGAGGCCAGGCCATACAGGAAGAATACCACAAAGAGGTATTCGACATGATACCAGACATCAGAGGCGGCGCGGAAGATTATAATTGCAATGGCGCTGGTGACCAGTACGATAACGAAGTCGAATATAGTGTACGCAAGCCAGAGAGGCGCCGATCGAACGCCATTACTATAATGCAGACCTCGAACATTATGGAGTCGCTCAATCGTCGGATACAAGGCGAAAAAGGATGGATAAACCGCCATGGCCAGACCAAAGTAAGTAATGAGCTGTAGAGCGTCTCCAACACTGGCACCCCACGGTATATCAAACGCTTGATATTGGTTTGAGATCGAAATATTGGTCAACAGTGTGTCAAGAGAATTCTGGATGATGACTGGGAATGCGATGTCACCATTTCCTTTCCAAGCAAAGGTAGGGGCGACCCTACCGCCACCGAGAAAGAAGCCTCCTGGTGTGACATTGGCGTACTTGTTCTCGATGTAGTCGTTGAACTCCTCCAAAGTATCGACAAGGTGAATCGATTTAAGCAGCTTGGTAGTATTAGCCCCCACATCTCCTTCACCAATGCTGCTACCAAAGGAGCCGGCTAGCAATTCTATTGCGCCTTGATCTAACAGATTTCGGGGGCCTGCTACAAGCTGATAATTGATCTGGGTTGATAAAGACTCAATATCAGAGACCGAGACAGCCGACGAGGGAGAGCATTCGGCCTTCTCGAAGTGCTTGAGGAAAAGTGTGACTAGGCCAGCGGCGATGACCGGAATTATAAATGCTGCGAGGTAGGGAAGGCTATTCCGCCGAAGAACCACAAGTCTTTTTGAGAAGAGCACCTTGGCTTGTTGAGGCATGCTGATGCGACGACCGTCCAGTAGCTTTGGGGCGTTGGTAGATGGGTCATCTTGGATCACAACCTCTGCTGCCTTGTTTGTAGTGGCTTCTTCACTGCGATTGCTGCCCACTACTTCTATCACATCCTTCGATTCGACCTCAGTCGAGGTGTCAGACCGTATCTGCACTTCTTCAGCAACCTTGAGGAAGACGTCTTCGATCGTCGGTCCGTTGACCTGGTATTCAGCCAAGCCGGTACCATCAACACGACTGAGGAAATTTGCAGCCGAGGCAGAATCTTGTAAAAAGTACACAGTCTGATCGCTGTGTTTCTGGTGGCTGATATCCTGGAAAGTTGGGATTTGTTGTGCGCCGTGATTGTGGTAAACATGGACCCGATATCCGGAGCCCAATTTGTTCTTGAGCTCAACCGATGTGCCTGCAGCTTTTAAAACTCCCTTCGACAGGATGGCGATGTGGTCAGCCAGCAACTCAGCTTCATCCAGGAAATGCGTAGTCAGAATTATGGACCTTCTGCCACGCTCTGCAAGGAGGATGTCCCATATCTTGCGTCGAGACAGTGGATCGAGACCGGACGATACTTCGTCAACGCAGCATACTTTTGAGCCGCCTGTAAACATCATGGCTAGCTGAAGCTTTCTTTTCTGTCCACCGGACAGGGTTTTGGCACGCGCTTTCGCTTTTGCAGCAATATCACACGAAGTGAGCAGGGAGAGATTGTCGGCCTTTGTCGCAGGCATTTTACTTTTGACTCGGTTGAAGATGACAACATGTTCATCGACCGTCAAATCGTCCCATAGGACGTTCTTCTGAGGACAAAGGCCCAGTCCAGTCTCGGGAGATGGGTAGTTGATCAAAATTCCGCCTGATGTGATCGAATTGAGTCCAGCAATAGCATCGAGGGTCGTGCTTTTGCCACTGCCATTTGCCCCCAGCAGAACCATGATCTCACCACGTCCAGCGATCAAATTCAACTTGTCGACTGCTAGGACCGTCTTCGGTTTCCTCCGCGTGAATATTGAGCGAATCTTGGCCAAGATGGACGGCTGGTACTCTTTCGTAAATTCAAGCAGCGAGATGGCAGTGGTATCATCCGAAACTTTCGTCTGGCGACTCTTTGACGTGGTTCCATATAGCGTTCTCTCGACATAGGCACCTAGGATGGGAAACACCACAATCTGAATGATTAGGAATATCCATAAGACAATCCCTGGGACTGCTGAAGTGTTTTCTGGCGCTCGCTTCAAGAGATTTGTCCCGTGATCTTGTCTTTCGTAGCGAGCCATGAAGATAACAAAATAGACATAGTTCATGGGCGGAAAGAGGAGTGAAAGGATTGCGACCGATGCGGAACCTGCCTTGCTTGCAACTTGTGCGATGATGGCCAGTAACAGACTCACGATGACGGACGTAATCCCACTGAGTTGGGCCTTTTTGAAGAACGCAGCCCCGAAAATGGACAGGGACGACATTGAAAGACCCGACAAGATATTGAAGATGATGACAATAGCGGCAGACGTTTTGCTGAATACACCCACTGAGAGAATGATCGCCATGATGATCCAGCCAGGCCCGTAGAGAAGATCAAAGGCGATATGATTCGCTAGGATTCTCGCCATTTGCGGTTGCCATCTTCTGGAATTTGGCATCATACAGTCTAGTAATTGGGCCATACCTTGCTCTCTCTCGGCGGCTATCAGTCCTGTAAGTTGGTAAGTCACACCAACCACGCCGATGAAGAAGGCGACAGCAAGAATGTCGATAATGCCTCCCATATACCTCGTCCTAATCTGTCGCAGACGTTGCTGTTTCGTCATCGATGTATAAGGATACTCCTGCACCTGGTCTGGCAAAGCCTGTGAACCATTTCTTCCATCTTCGACGTTGGAGATGGCACGATCGATCGCGTGTTGGAGCGGCAGGAGATAGATTTCCACGTCGTTTTTAGAGGAGTCTGTGACGATTTTGTTCTGAAGTCCACCGTCTGCCCTGATCGAATAGTTCCATCGACCAGCCTCGCCTTCTGAAGGGGAGGAGAAGAAGACGGCCCCAGCAACGCATGTGGAAGTGCCCCTGATACTGTTTCTACAAGTTGTCAAAAGGTCCTCCTCTTGAGACAAAATCTCTACCTTCCCACTGAACGACCCGGCACCGTTCACAACTCGATCGATGACTGACTCGATAGCCCCGCCCGAGAAGCCATTGTTGACGAAGACTAGCTTGTCCCGCCCACCGGAGACGAGGTCGAGAGCTTGCGGCAGACTACGGACTGGAGTCGGATCCCCAATACCATAGACGGAGGGAGGAATGAAGAGGAATCGTGCATACGATCTAAAATTGTCAGAACTCGAAGGCTGTATATGTAGTCAGTGACGCACAGGAAGCCCACAAAGATACAAGGCAAGAGGAAAGCCCTGATTGTCGTAGAGAACCACCGTCGCACGAAAGCAACAAGCAGATTCTTCAATGTGAGTGTCCAGATCTGACGGATGAAGAGAGAAGCCATGTGGAAAAAGGAAGAAGGGGAATCACTGGCCGGCGTCGAAGAGAGACTGCCGCTGTGGCAGCTTCATTGAGATTTTATGTAGCATATGTAGTAGCAGGCAGCCAGCCACAAGAGTAGCGAGATAACGAATAGATACTCAGTATGGAGGTATGAGACATGGTTCCATCTTGTAGCAATATTGGCATGTCTTGTGTTGCGAGATGGAGATTGTTGTCGTAGTTTTTTTAGCCTGGATAGCACCTCGAGATGGTGAAGTCAAGAAATGTTTCCCAGCACAGTCTATGACGACTAGGTCTCGGCTTAGAGAATCTATAGGTCAATGGACCTGCTTCTGGGGGTCCGAGTCCCCGGGGTCGGGAGAGCCAGTGGGGCTTCTAGTACTATTGTACAATATGTCTCCTCAATTTAGGGCCAGTGGGGGCCCTGGGCTGCTTGGAGTCTAGGCGCGGAGCTCTGGCACACCGGCTGGTTCGTAATCGTACTCATATGAGTATTCCAGCTCGCAAACCTCGCAAGCTACATCATTCAAATGTCCTTATTCAACCCATATTCTCTTTCTCCTCTGCCGTGCTTCCAGATTTGTCAAGCTTCATCGTGGTGTAGCTCTCATCATGAACTTGATAAGCTGTCCAAACACGAGAATTGTATGCTCGAAGGGTTTGAAATATCTTGTTGCAGCCCAAATCAGGCCTTGGACAAGCTCGTTCTGGCACACGGTCCTCGGAATGCTCGTTCAAAAGGTGCTGTCTCCAGTTGCTGATATTCTGGAAGATCTCATCGCTGCTGCACTCCTCGCGTCTCGCACACAACCCATTCTTGACAAACTCGTGAGTATGCATGTGCTGTGCTAGCTGATGAGAACCTTGGAACGGCCCTTTGTCACACTTTCCTTGTTCTGCAAATTGACATTTGAACTTGTAACCTTGCTTTGTCTCATGCTCCCTGGCGGCAACTTGCTCTTCTTGTTGTGATGTAATGAGGCCCCCTTTCTTCAGACCCATATCAGCACAAATCTCTCTATGGTTTTCGTATTTTTGGCGCATGTAGAAGCTGGAATCGCAATTTGGGCACTTAAACATAAACCTCGTGGGATCATCTCGTGTGTTGCCCCACGAGACTTTGCCTTCCCAGTTCTCTGGTGATGGAGTGCGCCCACCCCTGACTGCTTGATTGAGAGTCACATTGTACCGGCTCATCAAGAGTACAAATTCGGTCGCATCAAGATCCAAGATTGACTGGTTCACTTGTGTCGGGTGTATGTCGTTCATCGCACTTAACTCTGCCACAACAGTGGTCTCATCACAAAGTGTGCCGAGAGTATCGTTCTCGAGTTCAGAGAAGAGGTCAAAGTCTGCATTGGCTGGAGTGGTTGGCAGACTAGGTTGGTTGGCAGTGGCCACTCTTTTTGAAGATCTTGTTTGAACTCCAGAAGATGGTCTTCGTTTCCTGCCGCTTGCTACCGGTTGAGATGAGTATAGCTCGGCAAAAGCAGCCCGGTCAGCAGTAACACCGCTCTGCACCTTGACCCATTCATTGCGATGCTCTGTCTTAACGATCTTGGCAACTGCCTTTCTGGGTTTTTTCCAATCTTTGTACATAGGATCGTCTTCACCAGGGGCAGGGCTAAGAAAGAACGAGATTGGAGGTGAGTCATCCTCAAGAAGAGTTGCAGAGTTTTGCCGAATATAATCAAATACCATTGCTGACATTGCTGAATGGCTTGGCATGGTGTAGCCAGAAGTAACCTGCAGCATAGTGCTATCAATCGCAGATACAGGGAGAGCGGGTTTGTGAACACTCAGTGCTTCGTCCTCATCCTCGTTGTAGGGCTTGTTGGCTTCGACATTGGTATGACCCATGGCTCGAGCGACTCCTTCAGTGGAAGGTCTGAGAATGTTGGTGGGAAGTCTTGACAGGTCTTTCGCACTTCCACGGCGAACATCGTGCGCAAGGAGCTCTGGTAGATATCCAGCCAGGTCTCCCATTCTCTTGATTGTTTCCATTGCAATCGTCTTATTTGTCGGCCGATTCAGTGTTAAAACACCAGATAGCCCTGTGCCTTGAGAAGGGACTAGAGGATAGGAAGGGTGCTTCCAACGCAAGGTCCTATCGCCACGAGCGTTGGCCGCAGCGAGAATCTCGTCAAGTGTTGTGCCGTCCTGAAACAGCCCGTGTCGAAGGCCGTGAGCCACCAGTAAAAGAACCAAATCAATGGTGTTGAACTCGGTATTTTTCAAACACTCCACTCGGCGTGTTCGATTCTGGTTTGATTTTCTGCGTGGATGAGATTAATTAGCTTCAACAGAATTGAAAGTGTTGTAGAAGTCAAATCGTTGTAAATAACATACTTTTCAAACTTTGTGTACCGGAGAACGACGTTGGCAACGAGATTCGAGTTAATCTCTTCATCGCCCTTTAGCGATATCTGAATATCCTCAAACTTCAAGAAGAAGCCTTTCTTACTACACTCCGGGCCTGATGGGATACAGTCTCCTGCTCGACAGTCCACTGAGACCTTCATTGCAATTGGCAAGGTCTTCATGAGTGTGAGATCAAAACTGCCAGTATCGATCTGAAAAGCGTCGTGGAACCAAGCAATCATCGACTTGAGTAGCACTTGGAACGTGGCGAACTGTTTTGGACGCCAGGGTCCATGTGTAAGCTGTCCTTGGTTCCCTCATTGATTGTACCAGTATGTGACATATAACTCAATATGTCCTTCGCAGGTCCGTCGAGGATATTTGAACTTAGGATGATTGCTGACATACCAGACGACATTGAGCATTACGCTCTTTGAAAGGGCATGCTTATGGTTTCCGTGCGCTGAGATCTGATGAAGAAGGGTGTCCACAAGGCAAAGATATATATATTTATTTATTTCCTCGCTCATTCATGTCTAGGAATTTCTGTTCCTTGAGTTCTCCTGAACACTTCCTACCTTTTGTGCTACTATGAGCCGAGCGGCCGCCTTTTTATAGTGGATATTGCGAGGAGTGATGGACTAGAGAGAATGACAGTGATTGAAGCGTAGCTGTTTGGCCAAACGACGATTGAGATTCTTCAATAGATCTCACCGAAAGGTGCTACGGTGATGAATTTGAAACGTCCCTGAGTCACTTCCATCTTGCTAAGACCAGTTTCACCAAGTCACCCGAGTTGTTTAAGACAGTGAAGAGCGGAGCTACCTTCACCCCTTCGACTGACAGTCACCAGCAGACTACTGAGCCGAAAACGAGATCAGCTAGGCCACTGTCAGAAGAGATGAGAAAACGGCTGTTGGCTGGTAAATTATGTTTTACGTACCTCCAAACAAGAGGAGGTAAAGCATAACGCTATCAATGCACAAACTGACGGAACAGTCAATGCTCAGTCAGTCAGGAAGGGATTCACAGATTAGGAAGCCTGGCTCACATGCTAGTATGCTCAAATTTTTGATACAAGTTTGCATCTTTACTTACTGACTGGAGAAGAAGGACCAGCAGATATTGGAATATTGAAACAATCGAACTAGTAATGATCTCCCTCGAACCAACCACTCTAAGACTTTCCTTTCGGATCCCGGGACGCATTCTAATAAGCCGATAGTGTCAGGACTCAGATAGTCGACAAACAACGGTCATGGCTTGAAAGAAGATCTCTGCGGCCATTGGTGTGAAGTTGAATACGCGCGTGGTCGGAAATGCCGGCGGATAATCCGAACATCAGCATTCACCCTCTGTCGTCTCTGCGAAACCAGAGACGCATGCCTGAAGAACCAACGGCCTCTTACCATCAAAGCTTATGTTAATGAGTTACGCGTATTGGCATCACAGACATTACAATTTTCGACCGAAAAATCGTCCGTCTCAACTTGGATGATTGCAGTAATTTTTTTAAATATAAACGCCAAAAGGCCCCATTCTGCATCGATACGTTTGCTGCCGGATTTCACGACTTGTTGAGGAATCTTAAGCACAGCTATATACAATGTCCAAACCTTCGATTCTTTTCTTCCCGGGCTCCTATTGTCTACTTTCCCTCTATCAACCGCTCTTCGATGCGGTCACTAAAGCAGGGTATGAGATCAAGGGGATTCATCCACCGACAGTGGGACCGAGCAGTCGACAAGGTTATGCCTACGCGGCACCTTCCATTTACGACGACGCAGCGGTACTCGCACAGGAGGTCGAAACGTTGGCCGATGAGGGCAAGGACGTGATAATCATCGGCCACTCTTACGGGGGAGTGCCCATGACCCAAGCCTCCAAAGGCCTGGGTAAAGAGGAGAGGAGGGCACTGAGTAAACCGGGAGGCATCGTTCGGCTTGGCTATATGAGCGCCATCGTCCCCGCCCACGGCCAGTCAGCTCGCGAAGCCATAAGTGTCGTCCCAGCAGAGCAACATCCGCCCATTGACGTGGATGTAAGCCCCCGGTCCCCCCTTTTCTTGTCCGGGGAATTTGCGGGCTCATTTTTCTCTTTTTCTGACTTTATTACTTGTCGGCTCGGAGGTTCTTTCGCTCATATTCTGACATACTTCGTAGGAACACGGCTGGATGATGATGGCGGACCCTGCCGGGACTGCTAGACTCATACTCCAGCATCTGCCACCTGACGAAGGGACGGCGATAGTCCGTGACTTTGCAAAGCACTCCTCCCGGAGCTTCCTCGACCCCGTGACACATGCGGGATACAGGGACATTCCTGTTTCGTATTTGCTCTGTGAGGAGGATCTTGTCGGGCCCCCCGAGTTGCAGAGATCCTGGATTGAGATGGTCGAGCACGAGAGCGGCCGAAAGGTCCATGTTACAGCTGTGCAGACGGGCCACATGCCGAATGTGACGGCGAAGGAGGAGACCGTCAATTGGATATTGAAATTGGCAAACATGGCAGATTCGTAGATGTTGGATATGGTGATCAACCAACGTTCGTTCAAGCTAGCAGAGTCAAATATATATCTCAGTGGCTGTGCTCTGCTCTGATCTCTCACCGTTCTATATCTGCCTCAAAGAACTAAATTCTCCATGAACATTTGACAATCCATAGAGAAATGTCGACGCCAAAAGGTATGATCTATGCTTTCCT